GTTTGGTTTAACAACCGCCACAACGTGGGGAGGCCTTCATCCAGCAGTGAATTGACTCGTTGGGACGTGTGTTGCTCGCCCGTGTCTCAGCTCACACCACACTGACCAGCGTGGTGAAGAATGGCCAAACAGCCCCCACGGCCGCGTAGGGCGGTTAGTGGTTGGGCGTTCCTTCGGCGAAGGGGGGGAGGGGGGTGGGGGGTGGGGGTGAAACCCCCGAACGCGCGTGGCTCGATGGTGCGATCAGAAAAACGGGCGGCACCTGGGGCGGCACCTGGGCGCCCAATCGCCAACGCTTCGAGATGCAGACGCAGCAGAGGTTGTTTGTTAGAGTTTGAAACGCCCTTTAATGTTTCCTCCTTGGCAGTGTAAGTCATTGGACCGGCCGGGCAAGGCGCAGGACTGGTTTTCTCAAGTTCAGCCACGTGTCGGAGTGCGTGGCGGGATGAGCGGCGGTGTGAGGCTCACAGCCACAGGCGGGTGTGAGGATCACAGTCACAGGAGGCGTGAGCCTCTCGGTCACAGGCGGTGTGAGGATCTCAGTCACAGGAGGCGTGAGGATCACAGTCACGGGCGGTGTGAGCTTGTCAGTCACAGGCGGCGCGAGGCTCGCAGCCACAGGCGGCGTGAGCCTCACAGGCGGTGTGAGGCTCGCAGCCACAGGCGGCGTGAGCCTCACAGGCGGTGCGAGGCTCACAGGCGGCGTGAGGCTCACAGGCGGCGTGAGGCTCACAGCCACAGGCGGCGTGAGGCTCACAGGCGGCGTGAGGCTCACAGCCACAGGCGGTGTGAGGCTCACAGCCACAGGCGGTGTGAGGCTCACAGCCACAGGCGGTGCGAGGCTCACAGCCGCAGGAGGTGTGAGGCTCACAGGCGGCGTGAGGCTCACAGCCACAGGTGGTCGCCAGCAAATGACGCAGAGCGAGAGAAGCCGGACAGCGGCGGTGGCGGTTGTCGTGGTGGCAGTGGCGGCGGCGGTTTTGGCGGCGGCGGTGGCGGCGGCGGCGGCGGCGGCGGCGGTGTTGGTGGTGGTGGCAACGCTGCTGCTGCTGCTGCATGTGGCAGCCTGTAGTGATCCCACGATGTGGAGGCAGCAGCAGCAGCGAAGGGGGCCTGTGGATCACGCACAGATGTTTCGAAAGTCCCTTCCCGTGGCTGACGAGGAGGTGCCATACCCTGGCTCGCCAGTAGAAGGCGGGACAGGAAGTGGACTAATCTCCTTTTCTTTCCATCTGTACGGGGATCGAATGTTGCCCCCTTGCGTCTCGTGGATTTTCTCCGGTTTCCTCCTACCTGTACAAACACTCGTACGTTGGAGGAAAAAAAAAACATCTTAAAATAAAAACCCAATGAAGGATCCTCCTGAAGAAGCGGCCTTGGACCCGGCGTGGCTCTGCTGGACAACGATAAGACGAAGGGCTCGGCGTGTCGGGATCATAGAGAAGCCTGCGGCCTGGCTCGCCGTGTCAAGACCATTGCACCGTAGCAGGCGGGTAACGACGACGACACAAAAAAACAACAGTAACAGTGATAATAATGCGATTCGTAACGTGCACGATGCTCTTTAACTTCGGCAAGGTGGCTCCGGGCTAGAGCGAGTGGTTCGCACATCGGAGGGAAGGTTGCGAGCTTGTGGCATGCGCGGGGGGTGAGGCTTACGGTGTAAAAATTTGAAGAATCGGAAAATGCCACGGTATTTGCATGAAGTGCCGAGTCGACGCATTTCGACGAGGTCATGCCGTAGGGGGGGTAGTGAGCTAAGACATGGGCGGCCAATCGCACGGGGAGGGTTCGGAGGGTCACAAGACGGACAGCGTTACACGGATGATCGTTATTGTTGCTTCGTTGCGAAACGGTCCGGTCGTTGGGTGTGGTGGTGGGTGGCTGGATCGCCCTCATGCCCAGCCCACCCTATGCCTAGCCCACCGCATGCCTAAAACAGCTTTTGTTCAGCCAGATAGAGGGAGCTAGACGGGCACAACACGGGCTAGAGAAGAGTTTCAATTTCAGTTTCTTTATTTTGGTATAGCCCTGCGAGCCATTCGGCTCTTTAAACGGGTGCAACCACAACAAACAAAAAAAGCAAAAACACGAACAAGAAAACATCTTAAAGTGCCTACGTGACTGTGCAAACAGAAAATCCATGAAAAAAAACAGCAAAATATTCCTGAAAAAATCACCGTACACCAACGCTGTGTGCAAAAAATCCCAGTGGGATGCAAGTTAAACAACAACAACCACAAGACAACTTAGATTAAGGCCATCAGTCTAACTCCGTACTACAACAAAACAAACATGTACAAACCAAAAAAGTTTTGGAAATCACTAAAAAATAAAGCCATAATTGCAACGTAACAGTGATCATAGGGACTGTGACCGAATTTTTACAATAAACTACATAAATGACATGTAACACCAAATCCTAGAGCCATAGCTGGCTGCATGAGTTACTCCAAAACAACAGAAGCATCAGTCGGAGTATCAAATTTTTCAATGCACCTTTAAGATCAGCACGCTAAATCAAAATACAGATAATACTTTGCAGCATCACCCGGAGCGAAACATTTTATTTTACGCCAATGAATAGCAGTGGCAGCTAGGGGTGTACAACTTCTCGAGAGCAGTTTTGAGAGAAGATCTCATTGGTAGCGATTCAAGTTGCAGTTTATTGGCAATAGCATTCCAGACCCTGGGGGCATCAATAGCAAAGGCCCTTCCTCCAGTTTTTGTGCGGCAATAGGGAATGTGAAGCTGGTAAATGAGCGAAGACCTGAGGTCAAATTTGTTCTTTGAAACAGAGAGGAGATCCAGCAGGTTGTCTGCGGATTATTTTGTAAGTACATCGTGAATAGATAAGATCTGGTGCACAAGCCGTCAAACATTAAGATATGTTAAGTTTGACCCAATGTAGACATCACAGTGGTGAGTGCTATATGGACAGTTCAATGTAAATCTTAAGGCCGAGTGATAGATGGAATCAAGCTTCTTCAGTACAGTACTTGGGGCTGATTTATACACGATGTCCCAGTAGTCAAGTAGAGGCAGTATGGTAGCTTTTATCAATTCCAAACGGAACATTGGGGGGAAGCAGTGCTTGTGTCGATACAGAAAACCAATTTTTATTTGTGTCTTTTTACCAAAATAATCAATGTGATGTTCAAAATTCAGTTTTTAATCCAGGTTGACCCCTAGATACTTATAGATCTTGACTTGCTCTATTTGATAATTATTTAAGGAATGTAATTGGGGAAAAATAACTTCCTGCTTTAGTCCTGGTGAGAAGCATAGCACCTTGGTTTTGGAGGTACTCAGGACTAGTGTAAGAGCAACTAGATGATGTTGTAGTTTGTTGAAATCACCCTGTAGCTTAGCAATCACGTCATCCGGAGAGCGGCCAGCAGTAATCAGTATCGTATCATCTGCAAAAAGATTTACCCTGGAATGATCCAGGTCAGTGCCCAAGTCATTGACATAAAGAGAGAACAAGTGGGGGCCGAGGATGGAACCCTGTGGAACCCCTTTTGTTATCTTAACACTGTTTGACCTCCAACCATCTGTGAATACAGTTTGGGTGCGAGAAAAGAGGTAATTTTGTAACCATTTTACTGCGTTTTCAGAAAAACCGAGGCAACTTAGTTTACTAAGCAGGGTGTTGTGGTCTACTGTATCAAAAGCTTTGGACAGGTCAAGAAAAAGACAGGCACAGTACTGCTTATTATTATCAAAGCTGCTGTAAATGTGATTCAGAGAGTCTAATGCAGCAGATGTGGTGCTGTATTTTTTCCGGAACCCAGATTGTAGTAGATTGTTGGAGAGATGGAGCGATGTGGCACAGGAGGACGTGGATCTGAGTGGACTTGCCGATGACCGGTACCAGCGGTGTCAAGATCGGCCTCTGTGGAGGAGGCTCATGAAGGACGCTGCTGCTGGGCAGTTGGAGGCAGTCGCCCTCCAACGACAGCGGAGGTTGCGGGAGTGACACTCGCGACGAGTGAAACGCCGGGTGGCTAAATCGCGAGTTGGCACAGTGGGGGGGGGGGAGTACTGCTGGTGCATCTGTCCGTCATCTCGGTCAGTCGACCCATGGCATCTGCTGGGGTCTGTGTCCCGTTACCTCCTGCTAGCGAGCATTTGACACGTGGCCTCAAGGTGCACCTAGCCTGCCACAGGCGTCATGGTGTCGTCACCGCTACATAGCGGCGAACGACGGTTGGGGAGGGGTTGTAGTGGACACCCATAATCTAACAATCTTGGGAACAGGGTTGGGAGATCGCAGAAAGATGGGAGCTACGATGAGAATAGGAGACACGTTGCTGCTAGGAATCAAGTTGCCACTTGTAATGAACAGTGGAGAAAGTACGTTTCTGATGGCAAAACATCTCAACTATAAAGGTCCAATTTAAGAATGTAAAAGGCTTTTTTAGCTGTTCTCATTGTGAAATGACCGTGTAAAGCCACGTGTCATGATGACCGTGCAAGGCCACGTGTCAATGTGCCAAAACGTGTAAGCGTCCAACCGGTGCGGAGTATCTCTGATGACGTGCGTGTCGGTAACGTAGACACGGGCCGAGGAAATGGAACTAAAACAGGAACGCGTGACCAGGAACGCTTCAAGAAGTGGATTTATACAAATGATGGATTCGTTGATTTTCATCCAGCAGTGGTAGAGACGCTGGTGTGTGGTGGTTGCCGGTGAGCGCGAGGTCATTTGTGTTCCTTTGTTACGGCGCTCGTCCACGTGTCACTTGGCGCTGTTGTTGTTGTTGTTGTTGTTGTTTGTGTTGTTGTTGTTTGTGTTGTTGTTTGTGTTGTACCTGTCACTTCGCCGTTCCTGTTTCATTTTGATGGCCCTTGCTGCTCTTGTATCGTTATAATTCACCGCGGTCATTTGCGGTGGTGTTCGAATTCGCAGTTGTTGCTTGCAGTGTGATCGTGGTTGTGGTATAATAGTTGTTGTGGTTGTTGTTGTTGTGGTTGTTGTGGTTGTGGTTGTTGTTCAGAGTGTCGGCGGCGCCGCTGCTCTTCGTGGCGACGCTCTCCGTGTCGCTGCTCTTCGTGGTGGTGCCGCTCTGCTCGCACGTCGTGCTGCTGGCACTCGTGCTGGCGCTCGTGGGACTCTCCATGGGCTGCATCGACACCATCGCCAACACGCAGATCCTGCGCCTCTTCCAGCGCAACGCCTCGCCCTTCCTGCAGGTGCGGCACCGGCGCCCTGCAGGGGATAGAGAGACGGTGGGACACCCTGCAGTTGGGAGAGAGGGCTGCCCTGCACGAGAGGGAGACGCCCCGTGCAGGCGAGACGTGACGGTGCAAAGAGCATTGACGGTGACGATGTTTGGGATGACGATGATGACGGGAGCAGTGCTGTCCGTGACGAGACCAACAACAATAACCCTGGCGACCGCTCCCTCCCTCTCTCACCCCCACCTCCACCCCCCCCTCGCCCCCCCCCCCCAACTCTTCCGTCCAGGCTCTGCATTTCTGGGCGGGCCTGGGCGGCCTCCTGAGCCCTCTGATCGCCGAGCCCTTCCTGTCGGACGACCACTGCCTCATGACCAGCAACGCCACGGTGCAGAACTTCTCCAAGCTGGAGTCGCTGCGCAGCGAGCTGGTGCCACACCACGTGGCGGCGCGGCACGACGCCGTCGTGCTGCCGCTGAGCGGGCGCGCCGTCACCAACGTGCAGTACGCCTTCTGGATCATGGCCTTCATCAACGTGAGCCCCGGACTCCCACCCCCACCCAGGCCCCCTCCTACCCACTCAGACACCCCCCCACCCCGACCCCGACCCCCCCACCCAGACCCTCACCCACCCACTCAGACCCCCCCCCCCCCCACCCACCCACTCAGACCCCCCTTCCACCCACCCAGACCCCCACCCACCCACCCAGACCCCCACCCACCCACCCAGACCCCCACCCACCCACCCAGACCCCCACCCACCCACCCAGACCCCCACCCACCCACCCAGACCCCCACCCACCCAGACCCCCACCCACCCAGACCCCCACCCACCCACCCAGACCCCCACCCACCCAGACCCCCACCCACCCACCCAGACCCCCACCCACCCACCCAGACCCCCACCCACCCACCCAGACCCCCACCCACCCACCCAGACCCCCACCCACCCACCCAGACCCCCACCCACCCACCCAGACCCCCACCCACCCACCCAGACCCCTCCCCACCCACTCAGACCCCCCTCCCACCCACCCCGACCCCCCCCCCCACCCTGACCCCCCCACGTTGTACGATAAGTGTTCTCTCATGGAAGAACGCGTTGTAGAGAAATCGCCTCGCGTGAAGTGAGTACTCGCCCGCACCGCACGCGCTGCGTGTGCCGAGCGTGTGCCGAGCGTGTGCCGAGCGTGTGCCGAGCGTGTGCCGCGCTCGTGTGCAGCTGCCCGTGCCGCTGGCGGTGCTCTTCCTCATGGTGCGGAGCCGCTGCAGCCAGTGCTGCAACCAGGAGAAGGCCCCGCTGCTCGGGGAGGACATCTCCATGGACGACGATGGCGGCGACTCGGGGCCCAACCACGACCAACGAGGTGACCCGCCCCCCTGCCCCCCCACCGCCCCCGCGTCACCACGCCCGCGTGGGGGATCCCGCGGGGGGTTGGCGGGTCGCACGCGGATTCCAACACGCCCGTATGCGGGGCGCCCCCATCCGTGTGGGTTATCGCAGGCGAAGGTCTCTCCGCACGGCTCGGAAGGGGGCAGTGCCCATCTCTGCTGCCCAGGGGTAGGAATGGGAAGGGAGGGGGGGGGGGCAGTGCCCGACGCTGCTGCCCAGAGGCTGCGAGGTTTCTTAGCCAGGGCAACCTTCATTGAGGTGGTGGTGCGATTCTCAGCCAGGAGTTTCTCAAGGGGGCAGCCCATTGTGATCTGGCGTCATAGGCCCTGAGCATCAATCCCGTGTGTGGTTCATCAGCGTCTATCAGCGTCCTTATGTTGCCGTTGTGTTTTTGTTCTGCGTTTTTTTTATCGTTTGTCGTAGGGTCTTCACAACATGGCTTTCTCAACTGTTTCACTGGGCAGAACTTGTCGGCGAAGATGCTGTTCATCCATATATTGGGAATGCTCATTCTGCTGTTCTCTGAAGGAGTCTTGGTAAGACAACATCATCGTTATTATCGTCACTGTCATCAATTTGTGGTCATTAATCTTATCATCATCATCATCATCACCCTCATCACAATCGTCCTCAAATATATCGTCAACATGGTCACCCCCACCACAGGCACCGTGCGCGTCAGCAGGAGTGTTCACGCGATCCCTGACGCGTGCGCCGGAGTCTGCACCACGGTGTGTTAGCCAAGACGTTAGCATTGAGGGAGAGGGGGGGGGGGGCTTCATTGCCTGCTGCTGACAGAAGCCGCTGTTGACTCGCCTGGCGACAGCCAAGAAGACTTCTTAGTAATAGGTTTCGACCCTTTTATCTGGCACCAAAACTGACATCTTTATTCAAGGCATCATGTTTGCAATAGCTACAACACAAGCAGTCAAAAGGCAAACAAAAAGAGACAACTCTGATAATGATATTGGCACTGTCCTTGAATTTGATTGGTCCACACCCGAGAGACGGCTTTTCTTAGAGCCTAGTCTTCACTGGTGTTGGACCAGAAGACGCCAAAAGGCGTCAAAAGGCGTCATCTGGTGCGTGTGCCTGTCTCTGTGTCCTCGTGTCTTTTTGTGTGCCTCTGTGCATGTCTCTGCGTGTATCTGTGTGTGCCTGTCTGTCTGTCTTTGTTTAATCTTTGTGCCTGTCTCTGTATTTGCGCGTCTGTGTGTGTGTGTCTGTGTGTGTGGTTGGGCACGTTTATGTAAATGTGTGTGTGCGTGGGGAGCGATAGTGTAGCGGTTAGCGCTACGCTGCGCTACGAACCCGGTGACCTGGGTTCGATTCCCGCTCACGGGCAACACCAGTGACGATTATCTGAACCGGTCCTGGGCCTCCCCTAGGTCGAATCGGCCTTAAATGAGTACCTGGCGCGGTGTTTAAGCATCGCCACTGGGGAGACAAAGGCGGTCGGGCGTGGTGCTGGCCACCCACCCCCTCGTGTACCGTTCCGGCCTTCATAGGTGCTCGCTAACAGCACTTGCCCCTCCAGTCTGTTAAGGCTACACGGGGGTTCTTTGTCTTTGTCTGTGCGGGTGCAGTCCGAGTTTGCCGGCTTTGTGCACAGCTACTCGACGCACAGCTCGATGCGCATGCTGCCCAGCGAGGCGGCCTTCCTCAACAGCCTCTTCTGGGGCTTCATCACGCTGGGCCGCCTCGTCTCCATCCCCCTTTCGACGCGCGTGCCGCTCAGCATCCTGCTCTCCATCAACTGGGTCCGGCGCATTCGTCTCCCCGCCGGGGGGCTCGGCGTGTCCGTGTGTGGGGAGCGGCGGCGCAGCGGTTAACGCTACGCTGCGCTACGAACCCGGCGACCCGAGTTCGATTCCCGCTCACGGCCAACGCCGGTGACGATTGTCTGAACCGGTCCTGGGCCTCCCCTAGGGAGACAAAAGCGGCCGGGCGTGGTGCTGGCCACCCACCGCCTCGTGTGCCGTGCTGGCCTTCATAGGTGCTCGCTACCAGCACTTGCCCCAACAGTCTGTTAAGGCTATACGGGGGATATGTGTCTTTGTGTCCTTTTGTTCGTGTCTGTGTCCCTGTGTGTGTGCACGGGTTTATCCCAGTGCTGTATTCGGATGCTGAAAAATGACCTGCAAGTCACTCGATTTGGATCACGCAGAGGCAACATCGCCTCCAACAGGAAAACTTTGACAGGACCCCCCTGAAGTGTAGTCTTGAGACTGGGTTAAAGAATCACATCAGTGACGATAAGAATAAAGCCAGACAAGGGGGATCTGCGGATTGGTCGATACGATCCCAGTTGGAGGTGAGAGTGAGAATTCTGCCTGCCACAGCGAGCATGTGCAGTTGACCAGTGAAGCGACTCAATGGGGGGGTTGTCCATGCCAAAGCAAGAAGGCCTCGCGTTGTGTGAGGAAGGCTGCGGCTTGGCTCCAGTGGAGGCCGGAGCGCCAGGCGGAGTGCCCCCAAGCTCTGCGCTCCCGCCCGCCCGCTTGCTCGCTCGCTCAGGGCTGTGGGTTTGGTCCAAGAGCAGCCACTACTTACCGACTCAAACCAAGAGCGGCCACTACTTACCGACTCCAACCAAGAGCGGCCACTACTTACCGACTCAAACCAAGAGCGGCCACTACTTACCGACTCAAACCAAGAGCGGTCACTACTTACCGACTCAAACCAAGGGCGGCCACTACTTACCGACTCAAACCAAGAGCGGCCACTACTTACCGACTCAAACCAAGAGCGGCCACTACTTACCGACTCAAACCAAGAGCGGCCACTACTTACCGACTCAAACAAAGAGCGGCCACTACTTACCGACTCAAACCAAGGGCGGCCACTACTTACCGACTCAAACCAAGAGCGGCCACTACTTACCGACTCAAACCAAGGGCGGCCACTACTTACCGACTCAAACCAAGAGCGGCCACTACTTACCGGCTCAAACCAAGAGCGGCCACTACTTACCGACTCAAACCAAGAGCGGCCACTACTTACCGACTCAAACCAAGAGCGGCCACTACTTACCGACTCAAACCAAGGGCGGCCACTACTTACCGACTCAAACCAAGAGCCGCCACTACTTACCGACTCAAACCAAGAGCGGCCACTACTTACCGACTCAAACCAAGAGCGGCCACTACTTACCGACTCAAACCAAGAGCGGCCACTACTTACCGACTCAAACCAAGAGCCACCACTACTTACCGACTGAAACCAAGAGCCGCCACTACTTACCGACTCACACCAAGGGCGGCCACTACTTATCGACTCAAACCAAGGGCGGCCACTACTTACCGACTCAAACCAAGGGCGGCCACTACTTACCGACTCAAACCAAGCCGTCTGGAGCCACCGCAGCGTGAGCCGACGGCGCTCATTGTCAGTGGCTGTGTCGCAGCGCTTTGCCTCCAGCGGCAGCTACTGCAGTTGATGCGGTGATACGAAAGTGGCCGTGAATGATGATGATTACCGCTCCTCGTGGATGTGTCCCCATTGTCCCGTCCGCGTTGGTGCCATGGCGCGGCTCTGCGGCAGAGCGAGCGGCTCGGATTCTCGTTGGGAGTGCGGGGAGGCTGACTTGGCCCAATCGTCTCTTTGGGATCGATATAATGCATACCACTTTGTGGGGAAGTCAAGAGCCGTTGTGCTATCGATAGATACCTCCGATGATCACGGTTGGCTACGTGTGGTGTGAAAGAAGTTGAACATTCATACATAAGCTTGCCCTCAACAGAGGAATATGGAATTGCTGTGTGTGTGTCATCATGCTCGTATGAGCGATAGTGTAGCGGTTAGCGCTACGCTGCGCTATAAATCCGGCCGCCCGGGTTCGATTCCCGCTCACGGCCAACACCGGTGACGATTATCTGAACCGTTCCCAGGTCTTCCCTAGGTCGACTCAGCCTCAAATGAGTACCTGGTGCGGTGTGTACACATCGCCACTGGGGAGACAAAGGCGGTCGCGCATGGTGCTGGCCACCCACCCCCTCGTGTACCGTTCCGGCCTTCATAGGTGCTCGCTAACAGCACTTGCCCCTACAGTCTGTTACAGGCTACACGGGGGGTGTCTTTGTATGCACACTGTGTGTGTGCGTGTGTATCATGCTCGTACTCTGTGTGTCTGTGTCTAGACTGAGTGTGCATGTGTGTGTGTAGACGGTCTGGACCACTGGATGGGTTCCGCAGGATTGGAAGGATGCCCTGGTAGTCCCCCTCTTTAAGAAGGGGGACCGCACAGACTGTACAACTACAGAGGCATCTCACTCAGTGTGCCGGGAAATGTCCTGGCAAGGATAATTCAACATCGCCTTGCCAGGCACGCTGAGGAGAGACTTGCGGAGCCCCAATGCGGTTTCAGGAAAAAGTGGTCCTGCACAGATGCCATATTTCCTGTCCGTCTGCTACAGCAGAAGTGTAGGGAATTCAAACAAGACCTACATCTCTGCTTTATTGACCCGGCCAAGGCCTATGATACCATCAGTAGGGTTGGGCTCTGGGTTGTTGTTCGTGCTTTCAGAGTCCCTGACCCTCTGCTCACGATCATTAAGGACCTTCATGATGGTGAGCGGGCCCGGGTAAAACTACGTGGCCGGGAGTCAGAGCCATTCCCTGTACACCTTGGGGTGCGACAGGGATGTCCTCTGGCTCCACACATTATTTAACATTTATTTTGACCATGTAGTTCGTGAAGCCTTCAATAGCTGTACCGGAGAAATTTCCATCTGCTACAGATATAATGGGAGGCTGATCGATGCCCGGGTGCGGTCAAGGGATTGCTCCCTATTGCTCAACCATGTTATGTATGCCAATGATCTGGTAATCGCTGCTCACTCAGAGGAGTTGGAGGCGCTGCTGCTGAACTTGGAGCTTGCCACTAAGAGGTGGGGCCTTACCATCGGCCCCACCAAATTTAAGCACCTGCCCGGGTGTTTTGTGCCATTGGACACTCCACCCCCACAACTCCCAATTGGTGATGGGGCAGTTGTGGAAAGAGCGGAGAGTTTTCCATACCTGGGCAGTGTGTTCATGACCGGCTCCGGTTTAACAGCAGAGGTCTCACTCCGAATCAGTCGAGCGGCATTATCTTTTCATTAGTTGCGTAACGCTGTGTGGAAGCTTCCTGGTCTCTCGCTCCGCACGAAGCTTCAGGTCTTCTCGGCCACAGTCATTCCCTCCCTTCTCTACGCTTGCGAAACGTGGACCCCCCCTAATGGAGCATCTTCGCCGGTTGGAAACATTTATGCTGGCCTACCTACGATCCATCCTGAGTTTAACCAGGCTGGATTGTGTGAGGAGCTCACAAATCCTTGAAAGTTCTGGACAAGGTCCCATCGGTGAGCTCCTCCGGCAGGCAAGGCTGCGTTTGCTGGGAAATGTAGCCCGCATGCCCAGCCACCGCATGCCTAAACAGCTTTTGTTCGGCCGGATCGAGGGGGCTAAACGGGCGTGGCACGGGCTAGAGAAGAGATGGAGTGATGTGGTACAGGAGGACGTGGAGCTGAGTGGACTTGCTGATGACTGGTACCAGCGGTGTCAAGATCGGCCTCTGTGGAGGAGGCTCGTGAAGGACGCTGCTACCGGGCAGTTGGAGGCAGTCGCCCTCCAACACCAACGGAGGGCGGAGGAGCGACGCTCACAACAACGAGCAGAGAGCCGGGTGGCTAAAGCACAGCAGGTTGGCACAGTAGGGGGCACAGGTGGTGCATCAGCCAGTCATCTCAGTCAGTCGACCCGTGGCACCTGGGTCTGCCCTGTGACCTCCTGCCAGCGGGCGTTCGACACTTAACGTGGCCTCAAGGTGCACATGGCCTGGCACAAGCGTCGTGGTGACGTCACCGCCACTTAGTGGCGAATGGCGGTTTGTTGTTGTAGACTGTGCGTGTAGTTGTTGTGTCTAGACTGACTGTGCATGTGCGTGCGTGTAGATGGGCTGCGTGGCCTCCTTCGCCGTGATGCTCATCTTCTCGCGACACCCCACGTCGCTCTACTTCGGCACGGCCGCCTTCGGCCTCTTCCTCAGCAGCGTCTTCCCCAGCGGCCTCGCCCTCACCGAGGACAGCCTCAACTACCGCGGTGCGCTCGCTCTCCCGCGCCCACTCCACGGTGCCAGGACGAGTCCGTCCTGGCTGACTTCCCCGACCCCTTTTCGAACCCGCCCCCCTCGTCTTCGTGAGCTGGCGGCTGCAAAACGCCCAAAGTGGAAATTCCACATGCCTGTGGCGAGTGATGGTTGTACCCGTAGGATGATCAGTGCATAGTCTTACAAAGTGTTACTTATTCTATCAGTGGGAAGCCATATAAACCTTGACTTGCCTTCCCACCCACACCCCCCATCTAGGTTAACTCAGCCTCAAATGAGTACCTGGTGTGGTGTGTACACACAAGCAGTGAGGAGACAGCGGTGGCCAGGCAAAGTTCAGGCCATGCCATCGATGATCGTGTGCGCCATTCGGGCCTTCACAGCCCCTTGCAAGCAGCACCATCGCATCTGTGTGTGCGTGTTCGGCTAATGGTGAACCTGGCCTGGCACTTGCAGCACTGACAGTAATTATTGACCATACTTCACCAGGCAGGTCAGTGTGGGTTGATGAAGGGGAGCGCCACTTAAATGTCCAACGGCCGGTGCTTCCACTACTGACGTGCGTTTGTACGTTTGTGTGTCTGCGTGTGTGTGTGTGCGCCTGTGCGTGTGTACGTGTGCATGTGCGTGCGGACGTGTGTGTGTGGGTGTGTGTGTGCGCGCGCGTGTACGCGTGTGTGTACGTCCGTGTGCGCGCGTGCGAGCACTGAACACAAAGCGTAACGACGACCCGCGAATGTCTCCCCCAGGTTGCGCCACCACTCTGCTGGTCACGGGAGCGAGCGCGGGAGAGATGTTCCTTCCCGTGATCGTGGGAACGGTGAGTGAGCGCTCCCCACTTGCGCCTCTTGCCCGGCCCTCTCCGCCCACGCTTGTGCCGGGCTACTGCCCGGCTGGCCCAGTGCTTCCAGATCAAGGCGGGGTGAGGGGGGGGGGTCCCTCCTGGGGATGCGTTGTCTGGGACGTAGTCGCTCCGTGGAACTCCCACGCCGCCCGTTGTGTCCCTCCTCCACTGCTGGATGAGGCCACTTCTCACGCCTTGGTGAAACCTTATTTTTTACCCGCTGGTCAGCCTGCGTTTGGTGGGAGCAAAGCCATTGGGAGCATTGACCTGCAACACAATGGACTTGGCTGCACCACCCCCTGCTGTCCACAATGTAGCGCAGCAGCAGTAGCAGCAGCAGCCGCCTGTAGTAGTAACTTGCGGTGCACGGCGGTCACCCATCCAAGCACTCTCCGGGTTGAACCCTGCTTGGCGACCCGAGGTGTGATGAGATCGGGGCACGTTCCTGGTGACTTGGTCAGGATGTGGATCCAAACTCTCACGATGCAATCTCTGGTGTTAAAGCCGAGTCTGTCGCGAGCATCGGCGATTGTCTTCCCAAATAAGCGTGCGGTGGGACTCGTCTCTAGTGGTGGCCCTGAGCAAGTGGTGGAAATTCCACATTACTGTGGAAAAGGATCGTGTGTATAGGATGACCACTTGACTTCCCACAAATGCATTCCTTATTGTATCTACCCCGGTGCGATGTTGAGCTGAGTCGATTTGAAACCGAATTGAGAGTTGAGTTCTCCAACCACCGCAAATGTCAGCAGATTTAATCGACCCTTTGTCCTTCACGCACAAATCATCTACAAATATAAAGGGGGTCCCCCCCCCCCCACACGATCTACGCTGTACGTGTTTGCACCGACTCTGAAGCTCTTCCCCCCCCCCCCCCACGTGCTGCTCGAGGATTTTATTCCCCAGAACTGGCAACGCTGGTCTGGCGCTCCGTACAAAAACAACGCCCGCTTGCTTTATTATTCCACTAGGGCTTCCTTCCCGCCCATAGCGTCGCTGCTTCCTGGTTTTGTGGCCGCGGTCGGAAGAACAATTGGATGCTCGGGAAAGTCGCACTCTCGTGGTTCCCATCGTAGCGAGGCGCGGAGATTGTTCCGAGCCGGCGTGGGCAGAGGCCCGTGGCGTGCCCACGCGGCTGCGGGGGAGGCGCAGCGCACGCCACGGGCCACGGGTCTCGCTTGAGCGCGCGCCAGCGCTACGCGACCAGGCGCTGGCGGCGAGGTCCCCCCCCAGCTGCTCTCTCGCGGCTGGAGCCTCGCACTCGACAACGTAGCCCAAGAGACGGGGGGGGGGGGGGGGGGGTTGTCGACAATGTGCGGTTCGTGTTCGGCATCCTTCACGACCTGCGGAGGCAGCCGCCGTGCGCTTGGGTTTCGACACAAACGCGTTTAAACAAATGAAGCCCTTTCCTAAAACCTGATGTCGTCATTCAATTTTTCTGCAATCGTCCACACCTCGATAGAACTGCTGTGGAGCTCGGTTCAACAACGAAAAGGGCATACGTTTCCCCCCCCCCCTCCTCCCACGATTCTGCCCAAGCTGGTGACGTTCGAGGGAGGGTCGAACTGCGGCGGGCAGAGTGCTCGTGGCACAGCTGTGAGATTTCGGCTCGAATCCTGGTTAGGGGGGACGGGGGCGGGGGGGGAGTCATCTCTGCCCATCATCCCTCTGGCTTCAATATAAAGAGTGCCACTATGAAGAGGAGTCAACGTTGGATTTTAAGTGTCAATAGCTTGAACGAAATGTACACTTAAATTCTCGGTTTTACATTTTTTGTCGCACAAAAAGTTAAACAATCTTCTGGTACTATGCTGAATCACAGGGCGCATGGGCTGTTCGTACTTCGTAAAAAAAAGTTTGGGAAATTGCACATTCATATGGCAGAGCCAGTATGCTCCTAAGACGATCAAAATCGACTTCCTATGAAGTGGTTCTGATTTTATCGGCCCTGTGAAACGTGATAGGCTGAGCTTGCGCTGAACCAAAATTTGACCTCTTGACTTTCCCAGTTGTGAGCCGAGTGCTGCTTTAACAACCACAGTGCACCGCAGGCAGAAGCGTAAAAACTTTAAAAACGGCAACGTTAAAGCGGAACCGCGGCAATGTCTGAAGATTGTAACGTGATCGCTTTATTGAAAGACTTCTTGGGGCCACATTTAATCTGCGAAACCAAAACGCATGCAAGCGTGGGCAGCAGCAGCAGCAGCAGCAGGCAGTTCACCGCAATTCTGTTCAACGAGAGCCGTGGCGCGGACGTCACCCGGCCTGGCGAAGCGGAACCGGTGAATCGTGCGCTGTGGGGCCACTCTGTGGCTCCTCGCCACACACGCCTCGCGACGGGTGGCCGCGTGTTTGGGTGTTGTTCAAATCATTACGATACGGCGGCTGTTGGCGTATTGAAATACGGTAGGTTCTTTTCCCATATGTAACTTGTTGGTTTTTGTTATTTTTGCTTTTAACTTGAGAACCAAATACGTGTCGTTATTCCAAGTCTCCCCCACCCCCCCCCCCCCCACCACCGTGTGCCCGGTTCACCTTCCTGTGTATTCGGCTGTGCGGTGGTGGTGATGCCAGTAAACCAACAGACGCTATTGGCGTCTGTACCACAATATCTCGCAACGCAGATTCCGAGTCGCCTCTGAAAAACTTATTTTCAACCTCTCCGTTCTGTACGCTATTGTTTGGCCAGTACTGGAAAAAAAAACTTGACGGAGACGATAATAATGCACGGAGGCAAATTCATTACTTACGTTCGGCTGTGCGGTGGTTGGGGGGGGGGGCATATCTGATGGCCGTGAAATAATTGTGATTTTGTTCTCGAGAGAATAGGCGATTGTCCCGTCGCGCCTAAATAACAACCAGGGCTAGATAATAAACAGGCCGAGATAAGAATAATTCTGTGCCGTATTTGTGTATTCACGTGTTTTTATAAACGCGAGCTCTCACCCCCCCCCACCCCCCCCCGTTCAATCGAGCGATCGGCCACCACTCGCTCATCACTGTGTGTGGCTCTGAGCCAGTGGTAAAACACACTCCACGTTCCCATGGCAGGAGCCCATCCCACGATGGAACTTTCCGCTCTCGACAATCCCACGATTGTGATCGCCTGACTGGAAATCTGAATGTTGCAAAAGTTAAAATCCCTGTTGGAGGTTGAGTCCAACCCATCACTATCATCGTCGCCATCGTCACCATCGTCACCATCTCACTCAACCTGTGGTAGACAAAATGGGTAGCACTTTAAAAAAAGTCAACATTGGTCGTGGAGGGCTGTAGCTCCGGCCATAGCAATGTGGAATTTCACACGATGGGTTCAGGGTTGCCAGCAGGAACGAGTGGCACCCTGCGGGCGTTTGAACAGGGATGCGATTGAGCTCGCGAGCGTAACGATCGAACGGGTTGCAGGGGAATTACTGTCAAACCCTTTGCCGGCACAGATCATTGACCAGCAAGGTTATGGGATCTTCCTGCCCGCCGGGCTGATCATCTGTGTGCTGGGGCTGCTGGTCTTCCTGGGCCTCGTCGCGTGTCGACGCTTCTTCGCCTCGCATGATGAAGACCACCCTCACGGTACACGTGGCTGCGTGTCAATGCACGGTGTGCATGTTGAACGGAGTTTGGCGGAGGGGGGAGCACGGGAGGGCAACGCCCTGCCCAAACTGTGTACACCTTCATTAATTTATTTTCAGTAGTTTACAATTAAGATTAGAAATACATTTATTATATGCATCGGCGATGCCCAATCGGAGGGACAAAGTGAATCCCTGCCCTCCCCGCCAGATATAGAAGTCAAACTCTGCTCATGATATAATAATAGGTTTTTTCCCCTTTTTTTCTGGCAACAAAACTGAAACCTTCTTACAAGGATTCATGTCTGCATTAACCACAATATCTGCAGTCAAATTGCAAACAAAAAACACACTATAATAATATATGCATTGTCCTTGAAACTGATTGGTCCACACCAAGGGACGGCTTTCTTTTGAGCCTCGACCCAATTGGTGCTCGACCAGATGACGCCAAAAGGCGTCATCTGGCCGAGCACCAATTTTTTTGCCAGATAAAAGGAGAAAAACCCTATTATTATATTTTGGTACTGGCAAAGGAGGTCTAATGATGGAGTCTGCCCATGATGTTGAACTTCTTTTGCACCGTGTGTGTAGCCAACCGTGCTAATCTGAGGTGCACTGTGTCATTTATGGAATACGGATTTACCTGTGTATGTATGCACAGGCCCAAACAATACAGCCATCGGAAGACTTTTGGAGCACGTGTTGTTTGCGAGCACCAATTGATCATGACACCGCACGTACAGCACTTATCCCTCTGATCTATTAAAGGTTACTCGAGGGTCCTTTGTCTGTTTGTGCAGTGTTTTGTTCCAGTGAAGGGTGTGCATGTGATTAAACAGGTGATATTGTGTGTGTGTGTCTGCGCATATTCAACAGATTCCAAGGTGGAACCTGACAGTGCAGGCATGTGAGACACCCAAGCCTGCGTTGAGGTTCCCTGCAGTTGAGACGCTCGACCGTGCTCCCTCACCATCGCGCGTCAACCACGTGACTTCTCTCTCAGCAATCCATGGGAGAATTACACCCATCTCACCTCCTCCAACAGCATCAACCAGAAACCTAACATCCTGTAGTGATCCGATAGCAATCCATTCGCGACGTATAGGTAGGTCCATGAGTACAATGTGTGGTGTAGAGACGCGTTGGAGGGATAGTGTGTGGTCTATTTGATAAATCGCTGTGCAGTGTTAATCCATCGTTTTCGATCACCTTTCCTATGGCTTCTAAGCCTTGACCCCTGAACAGAAGAAAACGAGTCACGTTTGGATGCAATATATTTATAAGACTTCCTACCAAACGCGTTATGTACATACATTTTCCCTAAATAGACAAAAAAAAGTTGCTACCCTATTTTCTAATCTGTGTACATTCATAGAGATCATTATTGAATTTGAAATCTTTCCCCGTGAAAATCTCGAGGCGATTTTTCAGAAGAGCCCTGCCCAACGTATTTGCCCAATTCAAGTCTTGTTTCCTACAAAGCATACGAGAAGGAGGACAAACCCTTGCCTTGCCACGCACATGGCACAAGGTAGGACATGACAAGCCCGCTTGCTGTACTGCTCACCGCTGGCGCACCACCTTGTTTATCAACAGGGGAGTGCCCCCCCCCCCCCCCCCCCACGTGGACCGTCGTGTCTCCCATCCCCGCGCGCTCCACCAACCCCCCCCCTACATCCGGCTCGTGACGTTCAGGATGCGCAGCGTCTTTCGGTGCGAACGAGCGTGCGGCGATGCTCGCCCACGACCTGAACAGTGGGTGAAAATGCCACATCCCAAAGGCGGGGGGACCGCTCAGTCTGGAGGTTGATCGACTAACTGTTAACCTCCTTGGACAGTGGTGCTCGTTTTTATATCCGTGCTGGAGAGACGATGAGTCAGCTCGACTCTGGCAGAATTTAACCGGCGACTCTCCAATCATGCGTTAAACGCTTGAGCCACAGTGCCACTCGGCTGAATTTGTTGCTGTTGAAGTTTAACGTAATTAAGTTAAAGTCATATTCTTTGGTTCTTTCGGTAAAGTCACATAGAAGGGAAACAATAAAATAATACAAATTTAAATGTTATTGTTTTATATTTTTATTATTTTATTGTTTCCCTTCTGCGTTGGTGACTTTACCGAAAGAACCAAGAATATGAATCCCTGCAGTCACGAAAGCTTTAAATCAAAATTTAAGTTAAAGTTATTATCATGGTGGATGAAACAAGTAGTGCAACTTACGTGAATTTGATGGTGTGCGTACTATGGGGCCCGTATGGAGATTGTCCACCAACTGGCCCTGCCATAGGAATGTCGAATTTTCACCACTTGCTTGGGGCCATCAACAAAGATGAGTGCCACATTGCACTCGTGTGACGGAGCCACTTTGCACGAGAGGCTGATGATCGTGTTACGAATGACTGCGCTTAATTTTTCCTAAATCTGTGAAAACTCATCATTTACGTTGCAACCACCCCCTAATTTTAGTTAAGCAACTTTATTCGAAACTTATACCACAAAAAAGTACGTAAGCATTTTAAACAGTTTACTGTGTGTGTTTTGCTAAGCCGTGAAGAGCGTGTGAACATTTTGGTAGCCATGTACACAACGCTGTAGCTACATTTTTATTTGCTTTGCCGCAAAATTTATAGCTCGACGCATATCCTGAAAAGCAACGCTTGTATCCTGATAAATATGAGACCACACGGCCTTCTATAAAACATATCCGGTCAAGCTTCACTTAACAAACTCTCCCGGTTCTATTGTCACGTGTATTTTACACGGCACCCTTAACATTTCGTGCCGTTTTCAACGTCCCCGTTGTCGTAAAACGTCGGAGGTTTAATATTTTGTTAGCGATGTGCACGCCAAGGTCAAGAGGTCATCGCAGCTCACGCTGCTGAAACCGTGACCCCTCACCCGCCGCCTCCGTCGCACGCATCCCGGTTGTTGCACAGGCGAGCGGTACCCGAACCAGCGAGGGCCGCTCGCTCGAATGGTCTCACAACATCTGTCTCCAGGGTTTCCCCGATGTCACCGCCGCCGCCGCCGCCGGGTGCCGCTCCAACCCTCCCCGCCTCCATCCTGCACTCGCGCCTTACCTGCTGGTCTTCCCCTTCCCGATTGAGGCTTCAGGGTTTTCCTGCGATGTTTTATTCAGAACTTGTGCGTCGTTTACCCTATCTTTCCATGAAATAGCTGGCGCCCTCTGCAAAAGCCACCCGCTATCATTCACAACCCTGAAGCTTCTCGACCCATCTGGCAAAGTGCACATGGCGTGGTATGGGATCTTTGTGTTCATCTTTTTGCAGCACAATTAGAGAGAGATTGGTGTCATTGTGGCTGCTATGCATAGCCATCAATACGATCGGTTATGTTACTGTCTGGCACATATCACAAATATGATTCAAGGTAAATTTTTATCATCCATACATCCCCCTTAATCAGACCTTGCAAAATACAAGGCGTCACAATTTTCAAGATATAGGAAAATCATCTCAGCAGATGCTACTTGTCAGATCAATTTCAAGGTCAAGCAAATACTTTATTAGACATGCCATCCACACATCACCTTGCAATGCATTTCATTGTAATCTGCTCTTTGCATGCTTGAGAGTAGGGTAATTAAGTGTCATCACAGTAGTCACCTTAGCTTGATCTAAGACAAATCCGAAAGGTTGCATGCATACTCTGTAGAGCATTTGGATCTATGCTTGTCCCGTACTAGCTGTGTGAACCATACACGTTTAACTTGGTGCAGAAAGAGGCTGGAATCTACATTGATACCCCGTCGTGATAACACCCCAAGATCCTGCCGTGGTCTATCGGTGAGCGCACTGGACTTGCAAGCCTACAGGTCGCCGGTTAAGCTCAATCTCTTGGTCTTGGCAAGTTAAAGAAGGGAAAGTTTCGTATTTCCTCACCGCATTTGGCCATTGGCAGGTCGTGTGTGGTGGAGGGGGGAAAGTGTGGGGACTACCACATCTTTCTGGCATTAGTTTGGGGCTGTTGCTGATGGATATGAGCGCCACCCAATCCTCAAGCTGGAGGATCTTATATTCGTTTTGTCACGTATTGAATAATACACCGTGACGCGTGATAACTCGAAGGTTGAACGTTTGACAATGGTTTCAGTGTGGAGTTTCGCAAGTGGTATTTGAGAAAATGAAAATTATTAGAAGGGTTTGTTAGGTTGCAAAGGTTGCACTGTGAAGATGGTATCTGCAGTGAGAGAACCAATCGGGTATGGGATGTATCAATAATGCGAGTTTTGTAAACCAATTACAGTTAAAATATCCTCTTCACGATTATACATGTCCAGGTGATTGGAAGCCAATAACTATATTTAATGTGTTCCGTTTGATGGGTCCCCTTGAGGGCAGAAACCACGTGATTGTCATTTATTCCAACATGTTCCATGCAACAGTGATCCTCCGCCGTCTCTAACCCAATAAACCGCTCACCGCCTTGTCAAGGTTGTGTTTGTCTTGACATCATTTACAACGACACCACATGCACTTGCACCCATAGACCACAAGGCGGAACCTCCCTGATTCATTATTTAGGCAGAAACTACTGTATTACCAGATTTAAGACAATTTTCATAAAAATATTAGCACAACTTTGTTTTCTGCCAATTCATGAATTAGAATCAAGCTTTATATATTCAATATTTTTTAATGTTTAAAGTGTTTCTTTATTCCAATGAGTAAAAATGAGGATTATATTTGTCAAGCACCGTTCATCAGAGATCCCAACGTGCTGTACAAGTCGGCGTGGAAAAAAAAAACTCGTGCAACTAATCACTTAGACGCCAGTAGAATAATAAAACACTAAAAATAATTTGCGGAATTGCCTCAAAGTGGAATAGTCGGAAGTGCACAGGTAAGATTTGAGACGCTCTTTAAACGTTCCCGCAGACTCTTGAGAGATCCTGAGATCTCGTGGGAGAGGGAGGGAGGCAGGGAGCTCCTGAGAGTGTTGGGGGCTACACGCGACCCGGCTCGGGTTCCTGCAGACCGGAGCCGAGACCTGGGAACACACGCGAACTGTGACCCCAGATGTGTGCTGTTGCCAGCGTGTGAGATGACATTTTATTCAGAACCGTGCTCCGAGCATGGCACCAATTCTGTGGTGCTTGAGCAGGGGAACCGGGCCGCTTAGCAGGAGGTGAGGGCGGTGAGTCCACGCGTGGCCCGCCCACATTATTTGATCATTTACCACTTCCGTCTGCGCCTCTTTCCCGCACTGCGCACTCAGTCTCGGTCACAGTGTTGATAAGCCCACAAGCGCTAACCCCCCTAGTAGCCAAACTGAGCAAAAAAAACAAACGTCGCTGGGGTGAGCTTCTTTGAAAAGGGGGAAAGACCAAAATGATGAAACCCCCCTCCCCCACCACCCCACCACCCGGCCTGTGAAAAAAAATATTCCACGAAAGCGGTCCCTGGTGCCAATAAAGTTGTGGGACCGCTGTGCTCGAGTCCGGCTTCGGATAATGGCGTCACGGGAATACTTCCGAAGTGAATTCGAAGCCTCGCATGCACACCCGGGGCACACTTTACAACGTTCCGTTTTGCCGCACGTCGACCGGCAAATGTTGAATCTTCCCAAGGTGTGCGTAGCCAAATTGTGACCAAGGGGCCGTCCATAAATGACGTCACGCACCTAGGGGGGGGGGGGGCGGGGTTAGACATTTGTGACGATGTGTGACGAGGGGGGGGGGGTTGAGAAATGTGACGTCACATCAAAATGCGCAACTTTAAATAAATATAGACAACACGTTCTACTTAATTAAAGACTTTCTAAAAAAATGTTTTCTCCTACAACATCAGAGTGCAGCGCCACATTAAAAACGCACTACGATGATAATAGTTTAAAGCGATTTGAAGCATTTTGTTATATTGAAAATGGAAATATCTTCTTTGGTTTTTTCGGTAAAGTCACGTAGAATGAGAATAAAATAATAAATTGATAAAATAAAATAACACAATAATATTCTCACGACGTTTCGGCCACAACACAAGCGGCCTTCATCAGGTGAGACTGTCTGCTAGGACACCTGATGAAGGCCGCTTGTGTTGTGGCCGAAACGTCGTGAGAATATTATTGTGTTATTTTATTTTATCAATTTATTATTTTATTCTCATTCTACGTGACTTTACCGAAAAAACCAAAGAAGATTAATCATTGCAGTCACGAAAGCTTTAAATGGAAATATGTTTTTTTTTGGGGGGGGGGGGGCAGAGCTTTGTGACGTCATATTTGAGGGTCACCGATGGAGTCATCGGTGACCAGCATCACGCCACCAACCGCCCATCTTTGCGATGGCATTGACGAGATTACAGACGAGAGATTCCACGGGAGATTGCCACCTGCTGGTGGCCAAGGGTTTCACGCACGCGCAGCATTGGCCCTGAGTTTTTGCCAGGGAACAACAAATGTTTTTTTGTTTGGTTGGGCCGTCAATAAATGACGTCACGCGATTTTGGGCGATTTTTGACCCCCCCGCCCTCATCGTCACGCGGCGTCACAAAAAGTCAGACCCCCCCCCCTCAAATATGACGTCACAAAGCTCTGCCCCCCGCCCCCCCCCCCTAAAAAAATAAAACATGCTTCAAATCGCTTTCAACTATTGCCATTGTAGTGCGTGTTTAATGTGGCGCTGCACTCTGATGTTGTAGGAGAAAAAAATATTAAAAAGTGGCTGTCCGTGTTGCTGAAGTTGAGGGTGGGAGTCCACCCATTTTTTCGCCATATAACATTGTGATGTGTGGCGACTTTTTGTTGGTAGCTTGGCTGATTGGAGAATATATAGAGTTTATTGATAACATTGAGGTAGTTTATATTTGAGTTTTTTATTGTTTTTTATTGGTTCACTATGAAGTATTCATTATATATTGTAGTGTATACCCAGTTACTGTGAATAGCTCAGATGTGTAGGCCTTGACTTCAACATAGCCATTTCTGTGACCAGTCACAAGCTAATCACTCAGTTATTTCAATGCTAAATTCGCCTAGTTATTTCAATGCTAAATTCTCCTGTTTGATTTGTACTAGGTGCCTCTGTGAATTTGTATGCTCTGACTTTAACATAGCTATTTCTGTGACCAGTTACAAGCTAATCACTCAGCTATTTCAATGCTAAATTCTATGCTAATTCCTTTGTCAAGGGGTGCCTCTGCGGATGTGTATGCTTTAACTAAGCTATTTCAATGCTAAATTCTATGCTAATTCCTTTGTCAAGGGGTGCCTCTGCGGATGTGTATGCTTTAACTTTAACATAGCTATTTCTGTGACCAGCCACAAGCTAATCACTCAGCAATTTCAATGCTAAATTCAATGCTTATTTCCTTTGTCAAGGCGCTTTGTTTCTTCTCACACAGATTAAAGGTCGCGATCTGAGCGTGGCTTTTTCACTCCAGCTCTGTCCTGCAGACAGTCTCGTCCCTTCACCTGATGAAGGCCGCTTGTGTTGTGGCCGAAACGTCGTGATTTTTGTTATTTTATTTTTTACCTACGTGACTTTACCCAATAGAACCAAAGAGTAAGTAGAACGTGTTGTCTAAATTTAAAGTTGCGCATTTTGATGTGACGTCACATTTCTCAAACCCCCCCCCCCACCGCCTCGTCACAAATCGTCACAAATGTCTGACCCCCCCCCCCCAGGTGCGTGACGTCATTTATGGACGGCCCCTTATCTGCGTCCTACAACATCGCTGAGGTTGCCTTCGCGTCCCCGTGGGAGATGAGATTACGAGCGAGAAAAGTCTGAGCAGACAAAACAAATATTGATTTCGCCGCCTACCCATATCTGTTTCTTTTTCTTCCCACAGATATTTATTTGACACTTCCCAGCGTAACACAAAAAAAATGTTTTTTTTATATTTTTAATGCGGAGGGACAGATATGGGGGGGGGGGGAGCAAGCGGGTAGCGAGCTGTGATGTTGTTGCAGTGTAAAGATACAACTTGTAAATATACAACTTGTAAATTTACAACTTGTAAATACACAACTTATTATTGGTTCATTCGGTACGTAGAAGGGAAATAATAAAATAAAAAAGAAAACGATACAAATTCTCACGACGTTTCGATTGCAACACCAGCAATTGTTGTATTTTATTATTTCCCTTCTACGTGGTGACTTTATCGAAAGAACCAAGAATATGAATCCCTGCAGTCACGAAAGCTTTAAATCGAAATATACAACTTGTGAACGGTGGGCTCGGGCAGGACACGTCCCGATACCCTTGTGTGTGTGTGGGTTGATGATTCCCGATCGTCCAGACGAGCGAGTGACAACAGACAAGTGGCACACCTGTCAACCCATTATCAGTGCCCTACCTGATTACTACAGACCAACTCTGACATTAGTGGTCACCACGTGCCCCTTATAAATCTCAACGTTCACACCACAAAGGGAGAAACACAAATTAAAAGACATTTTTTTTCTTGCCCGTATTGAAACGGCTGCGCGCCGTGTGGACCTGAACACCCAATTCCCCTGTACAAGGCTACGGGGTAAACCGTCTGGGTTGACAGCTGTCAAGCCGGAGCCATGACATCCACCTGAGCAATAAGGGGCAGGGCCTGATCAATAATGGGCGGGGCCTGATCAATAATGGGCGGTGTCTGATCAATAAGGGGCGTGGTCTAGAGATGATGAACGCCCCCCGTGTATGTAAAGGTAATGGGAGCAGCATTAAACACGCGCAGCAGACAGCCCGCAATGCCTTCGGGGCCGTCCATAAATGACGTCACGCACCTAGGGGGGGGGTGTCAGACATTTGTGACGATGTGTGACGAGGGGGGGGGGGGGTTGAGAAATGTGACGTCACGTCATAATGCACAACTTTAAATAAATATAGACAACACGTTCTACTTAATTAAATAGACTTTTAAATCAATGTTTTCTCCTACAACATCAGAGTGCAGCGCCACATTAATTACGCACTACAATGACAATAGTTTAAAGCGATTTGAAGCATGTTTTTTTTCCAAAATGGAAATATGGTTTGGGGGGGGGGGCAGAGCTTTGTGACGTCATATTTGAGGGTGGGGGTCTGACTTTTTGTGACGCCGTATGACGAGGGGGGGGGGGTCAAGAATCGTCCAAAATCGCGTGACGTCATTTATGGACGGCCCCTAGGTCGACTCGGCCTCAAATGAGTACCTGGCGCGAATGTGTAAATATCGCCACTGGGGAGACAAAGGCGGCCGGGCGTGGTGTTGGCCACCCCACCCCATCGCGTGCCGGGCCGGCCTTCACAGGTGCTCGCTAGCAGCACTTGCCCCAGCAAGTCCGTCAAGGCTACACGGGGGACCTTTGTCTTTGTGAAGGCGACCGATTGCGCAATCGCGCCCGGGCGCCAACGTTCAGCTCACCGCGTGCAGATCCGACAACATACATTCTCACGTGCGACCGTACAAATATTCGCATTTCGGAGCAAATTTTTTTTTCCAGTGCAACGATTCGCATCCCCCCGTTTAGATTTAACATGAACATTGTGTAAAATGTTGACGTAAACATATATATGTGTTTTTTTTACACAAAGATAGTAAAGCTAAACCTCTGGGCTGGCATAAGGACGCCGCGGTGGCGAATGTGCGGATCGCAGACGCGCGGTTGGTGCTCGCGGTGGTCGTCGCAAGATGGCGGGCGAGCCCGTGTATTGCGTTTGCCGCCTCCCTTACGATGTCACTCGCTTCATGATCGAATGCGACGTCTGCAAGGACTGGTTCCACGGCAGGTGAGGAGCGCCGCGCAGCCCCGAGCCGCGCTGTGTGAGCGATGCTCCGCGTCCCCCCCCCCCCGCCCGCCGCCGTCCTCCCCGTGCTCCGCGAACGCACGGCCGCGCTGGGGCCTGGTCGATTTTTCGTAATCAATGGAGCCCGCGGCTCGCCTGGGCGGTGGCGTTTAGCGCGGGGAGGCGCTCGGCCCGCGTCGCTCGCGGCGGCGCAAGAGACCGAGCACGCGTCGGCTGCGGCCGAGACGAGGGCGGCGAGACGGGGCAGGGCGAGGCTTCGAGGCGACGGCCGTCACGCCTGGGTTGCACGTTTTTCGGTGCGGACGCGCGGAACGTAAATAAAGTAGCCGTCGTGCAGCCTGGGCCTGCGCCAGGCGAGCCCCGTGCGCAGTTGGCGCACCGCTGAGTTGAGTTACAAAACAAAAGCCGCGGCTCCCACTGTCTCTGGAGTCAGCGACGAGGGTGGCCACGGCCTGGCGCGATTCGTAACGCTGCAGCGTGGTCGGCACGGGTCAGCCGGGGAGGTAAGAAGGGGACTGGGGGTTAGGCCCGTAGCTCGCGCAGTGATCGCGTTGGGCCTGCTGTTCCAGCTCCGCGGGTTGAGCTCCGCTTGTTGCTTTCACCGATTCTACCTCGCGTGTTCTGTCAACAGTGGGGGCGCTTGTGCAAGAGAAAAAGATCATTCGGGCTAAGACGCGAAACCTTTGGCGCTGAGAACAGTGCGAGTACCGCGAACGCCTCCGCGAGTTTAATGCGGCCGCAAACGGGCTCTTGCGTCACTGCTCGGCTGTCGGAGTCACTTTCACTACTTTTGCGGAATTTTTTACGAGTCGCTTTTCAAGTCGGTAGTAACAACGTGCTTGTAAACAATGTATTTTAAGGCACATGGTAGGGGGCGCGTCTTATAATCCAGGATCTGCGTGTGGGCACAATTGTATTACTTTGATACCGGGCCCAAGGTTTGGTGCGGCCAATTTTCCGAAGCGTCTTTAAATCCGGAGAATATGGGAATCGTGATAACGTGCATCGGGAATACTTATAATCTCAAGGACGATGTCAGGAGGGTCCTGCATCATTGGATTGTTTGGCCAATTCCACGGTGAAGTGAATGTGGAGTTAAGCTCCATTCTTCATATGATCGGCGATAGACTTTGTTTTAATGTTGAATGTACAGTAATTGTAATTGCACCTGCCATAGGAATATCCCGAGGTACCTTGTAAAATAGATCATGCTTGGTATATGGAAACGTTTGGGGTTCATGTTCTTTGTTTATGTTTCGTTACATCTTGCTGTATTTAGTACCCCGCTATGTTGTGATGGCGGTGGCGTATTGATGGTGCACTGCCCGATGAATCTATGAGTTCGATTCCCAGCCACCGCTAACATCAGTTGCGAGTGATATCTGAACCGGCTCTTGGCATTCCCTTCAACCAGCGTGGTGAAATACTGTACATGGTTAAACGGTACAGGCCTTTATCCACCAGTGCATTTGTAAATTGTTGTAGATTTTATGTGGGCATTATTTCCTGTTCAATGGTTATCGTTGACTGCAATACTTGTTATTGCATTTCACGATATATGTAATTTTTAATCTTGTATATATGTACATCTCCATATATTATGGCAACTAATGGACTTTACGAATATGTGTGCTCGGGTGGCCTATATATGTGTGTGATCATTGCACTTGTAGGATTTAAACGTTTACTCATATCCACCCCCCACTCTATTACGTGCTGTGGTGGCAGGTTTTTACCACAGAAACACTTCGTATGGGTGTATTATCCAGTTGTCAAACTTTTGCGTGTTGAGCAATATATGTAATAGTAAAGTCAGACTGCAGTTGTTGTTTACAAAGGCAATTGGACAGTGCTTGTCTTATTGGTGGCCTTAAGCAAATAAATAAAATAGCATACTGTATATCCAAGGCAAGGTGTAGTATCATGGGAAAGCTACTACTGACTTCTCACAAAGTGGAACTTGTATTATGGACACCCAAGAAGACATGTTTTGTCTGAGTCCCACCTAACTGGTGTACAAACTGTTGTACCGCCATCAAGTTTTTCGTTAACAGTACTAAGCCTGTATCCATTCATATCTTAATCAGCAATTGACACAACCAGTGTGGCTAAAGCAAAAACAAAATAATCAGTGAACAGTGGATGTCGTATGGAAAGACTGGCTCCTTCCTAAGAATATGAAATTTAAATCGTGAGTCATGGTTGTCAACATTTGTAAATTGAGCAGGTAAACACACTTTTTCCCCTGATTGTCTATACAACTAAATGTGAAATATTTGCCTCTTGTGTCCACAGCTGTGTTGATGTTGAGGAGAGTGCAGCAGCCAGCATTGACCTGTATCACTGCCCCAACTGCGTGAAGCATCATGGTCCCTCTGTCAGTAAGTATCTCATTTACCTCCCATTTGTGCCTATGGTGACGCGTTGTGTGTCCCACTCATCATAACTTTCTCTCCCCTGATTAAAACCTACAGTGCTTGTAAAGCCAAATCGTACCTTTTTTTTACTTACAAGTTGCTTACCCTATCCTGCCATTAAATCCCAGATGTCATGCACTTGTACTAACTGGCACATTTTAGTTTGGTAAAATAGAGCTGTCAGACCGGTGACATCACCCCTGCATCATCTACGTTTCCAAGTCTATTTGATGAAGATGGTTTACCACAATGATAACCATGGATTTTATGCTATCTACCATGCCTAGGGATTGCATAGATGGGAATGCATAGGTGAGCTTGACATTGAACAGTAGATTGAACAATGCTTCAGTTCCAGTCTATTGTGAATACATGGTATTACGTATGCATGTTACCTTTTATGCTTATGGAGCAATCATGACAAAACACATAAGACAGTACTGATGAGCGTGAGGGGCAGGGGAAAGGGGAGATGGAGAGTAGGCAGTCATACATTACAAGCCAACGTCGGTTACCTGTGAAAATGCTGGAGCGTAAATCTCTGATGAGCACTGTTGGCTACGTACGGCGCGAAAGAAGTTCAACATGCATGCATGCATACAAATTGGAATATGTGTCTTTTGGATTTTCTTCGCCGCTTGCAGTTGCTGCTTATAAGAGTTTGTAGAAGCTCCTTACCCCCGTGCAGTGCGCAGGCGGAGGAACCAGAGCTCAAAGCAGCAGGAGGCAGGAGTGGTGCTTGACAAGGTTTCGGGAACGGCTGGGGGGAAAGGCGTTACTGGAGGGGGCGCCATGTTGGCAGGGGCGGGCTTGGGCGGGAGCAAACCCGTGCAGACTGGCTCCTCCATCTTCATCAAGGAGCTGCGCAGTCGCATGTTTCCCAGGTGAGCTGTTGCTGCTGCAGTTACTCATGCTGCTGAAGCCGCTGTTATTGCTGCTGATGTTTCTCCTGCTGCTTTTGCGTCTAATGCTGCTCTGGTGGTTGCTGTTGCTCTGAGGGATGTGGCTGCTGCCATGGCTGCTTATGGCTGCTTTTGCCAGTTGTGGTGGAGAATGCTGTTGTTGCTTTGGGGGTTGCTACTGGTGCTGCGGTTATAGCTGCTGCTGTCTTAACCCCACTATACTCATCTCTGCATACTGGCATAATAAGGTCCTCACTCGCAGCACTTGCCCCCTGTACTTTGTCAGGATTTAAGGCTCATCTAACCTTTGTCTTTGTGTCCGCACCCTGGCGGCGTTGTGCATCAACAGTGCGGACGATGTTCTGCTGAAGCCGCACGGCAGTCAGCTGACACTGCAGTACCTGGAGCAGGCCGGCTTTGAGACGCCCATCCTCGTCGCCAAGAAGGATGGTCTGGGCATGATGGTGCCACCCACCTCCTTCACCGTGAGCGACGTGGAGCAATACGTGGGTACGTGCTTCTCTGGGTGCATCCCTGCCAAGCCACTCGGCGGGTGGTGGGGGGTGGGCCACGGTTCAGAGCAGGGAGTGTAGTCAGCGAGTTGCTGACTGATTGGCACAGATTGTAGAGCGCATTCTCATCGTGTGTGTGTGGGGTGGTTTACTTCAGTCACTCTTCTTCTTGCTGGTGGTAGAGGACTCGTAAGCAGAACAAGAGGAGTTAAAACCCTGATCTACTCTACCCATAGGCTCTTGAAAGCCTTGGAGCATCAAGGAATGCAGTACACATCACTTAAAATGGGACCATGTACAGAAATAACATTATTTCATCAAATTTAGTGATTGCTTTCATTGTTGCGTGACGGATTCCGCAATATCCCATCGTAAAGGGAAATGTTCCCGTCTCGCACACTGCAGGCAGTGAACGTCTCATCGATGTGATTGACGTGCCCCGCCAAGCGAGCGTGAAGATGACGCTGGGCGAGTTTGTACAGTACTACAACAGCCCCAATCATGGCCAGGTGATGAACGTCATCAGCCTGGAGTTCTCCAACACCCGGTGAGCACACAGAGGGGGGAAACCCTGTGGTAGGATGGAATACCCGTCTTGTTATATGTGTTGACCCAAGGGTCGTTTGTCTAACTACTCCGTTTCACAATTGTGTGTCCGCAAAGCCGCTGATTTCAGATTGACTGCAGTGCCTTCAAGAGCCGTGTTTGGCCATCTAGCTTGAGGATCTCCTCTGCCTTGCACTTGCTCATTGTCACAAGGCGGGTACTGTCCACGCGTAGGATGTCCTAACCGTTCCTATTGCTGTTAGGGACTGATAATGATGTCATGTTCAGGCTCGGGCTTGCGACTTATTTATTAATAATCTGATAATTCCGGGTGATGTGCACAATTAAGTTTTTACCTCACCACTACAAATATTTTTATCATAAGACTAAAATGTGGATTCGACCCTTTTCACCAAAGACTTCCAGCTACAGTGATTTCTTCGGTTGTGTGGTATTTTAAGTGCGGTGAACTCCCGTTTATGTTTTCTTTTAAATGAGAAATTGGTGTGACAACCGCACACTGGAGAGACCGGGCCCTGCCATGTGGAATTTGTACTGAGAGCCATGCCTGTTGCGGTTGGTGCAGCTTGTCCGCGCTTGTGGAGCCACCCGAGGTGGTGCGCAACCTGTCGTGGGTGGAGAACTACTGGCCCCTGGACTCGCAGTTCCCCACCCCACACGTGGATAAGTACTGCCTGATGGGCGTCAAGGACAGCTACACTGACTTCCACATCGACTTTGGTGGCACCTCCGTGTGGTACCACGTACTCAAGGTCAGTCGGCTCACCTGCTAGTCATTCACGTCGGCTGTCTAATGTGCAATTTAATGCAGGTTACAGAGACTTCTTACTAAGTAGTGATGTTCATAGGCTGCCCGAGCCACAGTTGTAAGATTGTGAGTTTATATCCAAGACTGGGGGAGGGGGGTGATAGTTCACACAGCACGTGATCCCACCATGGGTAGTGTAATGACCACCACTTGTGGTACAGCAGCGGCTGTGTTGTGGAGAGGCTGGCCCCACCATGAATGTTTGGGATTTCTGCAGTTTGCCGAGTGTCACCAAATTCTCCCTGCCTTCACTTATGAGCATGAATGGGTATACCACAGTTAGTTCCCAGTTTGTGAGTGGTGGGGTAAACTGGTTACCCACAGGTCTTCCAAGACATCTGCCCAGCATTTAGGTAGGACAAATACCCTCTACAGCAGTGTTATTCACTAACGTTCAGAGGGGGGCCCCTTTCACATTTGTGTATTGTTGGGGGCCGCACGTCAGGGACCGCACTAAAGGCCACCAGGGGCCGCCACTGGTCTCTGGGCCTTGAAATGAAGAACACTGCTCTAGAGAGGCTTTGTAGAGCTCCCTTTAGTAGAGGCTCTTTCTTCAGTATGTGTGTATGTTGAACTTTTTTCGCACTGTACATAGCCAACTGTGATAATTGGAGGTGCATTTTTTAAGGCTGCATCTGTACCATATTTAACTTGAGCCTACATTTTACAGCTCTAAGTTATTCTATCATTGTTTTAAGTACACATTGTGGACTAACGAGTCCAGGACCGCAATCGCCGCTGTTAGCGTACATATACTTACATTGCTTCAAACTAAAAGCAGAGTGCCGTGTTTGCGCTGCCAGGGCGAGAAGATCTTCTATCTGATCAAGCCAACCAACGCCAACCTGGCCCTGTACGAGCGCTGGAGCCTCTCTTCCAACCAGAACGAGATGTTCTTCGGGGACCAGGTGGACAAGTGCTACCGCTGCACGGTGAAGCAGGGCCAAACGCTGCTCATTCCCACAGGTGAGACCGTGGTCAGGTGAGGCTGCTCTGCTGCAGCTCATTGCAGTGCACCACCTGCTGCCCTTGGCCGCGTCGGAGTGAACCTGGGAAGTTGTGGTTGCAGTGGCGCACACACACCTGTGCTTTTGTGACAAACGGTGGATCGCATATATTTGTGAAACTCAAATTCTGTGATCTGTGTCAGGGGACCATGAGCTGACACTACAGAAAGTGGGTTCGAGGATCCATCTGTGAACTTTGAAGTGGTATCTCTTTTTTATTGTGGGGTTTCTCCAGATATTGCAATTTCTTCTTGCATGCCAAACACTCCTCAAAATGGAATTAGCTAAAATGTCAACGAAGGACCCTCATAAAAGTCTTGCGAACCTGTGTGAGGCTTTTCTGAATAAGTTAATTGCATTGTAATGGAATTAATAAAAAGTAAATTCTCTCCATCTAAGAGATCAATATGTTGGCACTCATTCCCATTGGTGGAAAGTGGTAATGATTTTATTGACTCGACAATATTGGCTGGGTTCTTATTTAATGAAATAAAGTTGATAGTTGTTATGAAACGTGACTACGGTTTGAACTTGCAATCATCTAGTTGTGAGTTGAGCATCCTGACCGACAGTGCTACCTGTCTAGATTTGCTTATTTACTATTGTGTCTGTAGACAAGTGAGATGAGAGCACATTGAGACATTGTAACGTTTTATCTCGTTTACAATGGAAATCCTGAGGACATGCAGTTAGGCATACATGCCGGCGTATAGGTTAAAATGTTATAAAACTCGTCTATGACCAAATTACCTGGAATGCGCCAGATCCGGTCGTATATCCGAGGTTAAGCACTGTTGAGCCTGGATAACACTTGGCTTGTACACGAGTATTTTGTTGGAATGACCACTCTTACAGAAATGTTTTATTACCGGATCTTAGGAACCCTGAGCTGCATCATTTCGAGTTCACGATTTAGTGGCGAGTTGCAAGTTCTTTGTTGTATGGAGACGGAGATAGAAGCTGCCTGTGGAATTCCCCACGTCCTATTCAGGCTGGATCCACGGCGTGCTCACCCCCGTCGACTGCATCGCCTTTGGTGGAAACTTCCTTCACAACCTCAACATCGGCATGCAGCTGAGGTGAGCTGCGAACATCGTGGCCCAAGGGACTTGCAGAGCTGACACTGTCGAGGATCCCGGATTCAAATTTGGGTTCAGTCACCCCCTCCCCCATTCAACTGGTTTTTCAAGTTTAGCAAGTTAATGGTAATGGCCCAGTAAAACCATTATATGACATGTGTTTTTTGCACTAAATTAAACATTTTCTAGCTCCAGCATTGCACGTGTTGCTTGCATTGCCTTGCAACGCACACTATCTGTAGGTAATTTAAGAATGTCCGCCACTCATGAGAAAGAGTCAGATATATTCTCTAACCTAAGAAATTATCATATGATGGTGAGAAGCTTTGCACTTGTGTCGCATAGTTTTTCAGAGGTATTCATGTTAAAATAAAAGTACGTCTCTACTTCTAACGTGAAGTTGCAGTAATTAGTTTACAATTAAGTTGAGGATTCATTGAAGATGGATCAACTAGAGTAGCAAGTGGTGATTAAGTTCCTACATTTGCAGGGGAAACAAAGGACATGAAATACATGAATGAATGTATTCATTATGTCTCGGTGAGTCCCCCTCTTGTCATCTGACACATTGGTGTAAACAATTATTATTATTGATGGATTGAGCATTTATGACAAACCCAGAAGGGGATATTCTGGAAGTGCTCAAAATGAAACCATTGCAAATTTGTACTAAATCTCCGTCCAAAGGTTGCATTTTTTAGTTTACGTATTTTTTAATGAATGCTCACGGTCCGAATTAATGCAAAAAAAAAACCGAATGAAACCGTGCAGACACCGTACATGAATTGGTATAAACGAAGAAATTGTGAGGACTCGTCAACTCGCTCAGGGTTGATGGTCTACGCCTCCAGTGGAGGTTTCGCAGAGCGTGATTGTGCAGTGCACGGTCATTGTGCAGGGTGTCTGAAATGGAAAAGCGCCTCAAGACGGCTGACCTCTTCTCCTTCCCCAACTTCGAGACGCTGCTGTGGTACACCGGCCGGAGCCTCCTTGAGACCTTCCGTGGTAAGCGTGTGTGTGGGTGCATGTGTACGTGTGTGGGTGCATGTGCTTGGGTGCGTGCGCGCGTGTATGGGTACGCATCCGAAAGCTCTACAAATTGTGCTTTATTGTGCCTAGCCATGGGTTGCACCCCAATCACGCCCTCGGTATCATCGGTTATAGAGATGCCTCTGTTGGAACAACTCGCCCCTGGGATAGTGGTGAACATGCTACACGTGGTGGGGGACGTTCGCCCCAGAAGACATTACTGTTGGCTTCCCCTTGAAGTGGTCTTGGAGAACTAAGGATTGAGTTGATTTTAATACCGGATTTTGCATCTTCAACTTTGATATTGTAATGTGCTCAAAATAAAATAGTTACCCAGCAAGTAAATCACCAATCAATACTTCCTTATAATCGCCGATTTTCTGCCGAATCGTTTGTATCAGTTGTGTCCATGAGGTGAAGAACATCATTCATTACCCTTAGAGTTGGCAGAGCATAACGTCATGTCAGGGAACGACTCAAGATGACACTACAGAACTACTTCTAGAACCACATCAATAGCCTCTCGTGACATGAGGTACGCACTAACAGTTAAATAACCGACTTGTTGTGCTGCCAGTGGGTTTAGGAGTCAAATCAACACTTCTTCCAAACTGGTGGATTTCAGGAGTGTGTGGCCACACAACTGCAGCAGAACCTAGGGGTCATGATTAAGTTCACGTTCATCAGGGTGCATGGTTTACCTCCAAACAGTGCCCAAAGCTCATTGCAGCCTTGACTGTAGCGAGCTGCCCGTGTGACCCCATGTGACCCCGTGTGTCCCCGTGTGCCCCCCACCCCCCTTGTTGTCCCCCTGTGCCCCCATCACGACTGCATTTGCAGAGCTGCGAGCACGCGGGAACCAGCCGCCCGCCTACCTGACGCAAGGAGCCAAGGCCCTCAACTCCACCCTTCGCTCGTGGATGCGCAAGGAGGTTCGATGCCCGCTCTCGTCCTGCATTGGCCATTATCTCTCGTACACACACACACAGAGCCTTGAGCAGAGAATGCAGGTGCTATGTTATCCAAATAGTATGTGAATCCAAAATGGGCAGGACAAAGTTGTGGAAGGTGGAGAGACCGGACTAATACAGAGTGTCTGAGAGATCACACACAAAGTTGGGAGAGAGTAGGCAAAGGATCAGCTTGAGCAGAGTCGGTGTGGGGGAAACGATAAAAAAGAGAAGCCAGTGACTTGAGAGATGGTTTGGACCAAGCAAGGAGAGTGGATGACACATCAGATACAGTGAGGGAAAAAAGTATTTGATCCCCTGCTGATTTTGTACGTTTGCCCACTGACAAAGAAATTATCAGTCTATAATTTTAATGGTAGGTTTATTTGAACAGTGAGAGACAGAATAACAACAACAAAATCCAGAAAAACGCATATCAAAAATGTTATAAATTGATGTGCATTTTAATGAGGGAAATAAGTATTTGACCCCTCTGCAAAATATAACTTAATACTTGGTGGCAAAACCCTTGTTGGCAATCACAGAGGTCAGACGTTTCTTGTAGTTGGCCACCAGGTTTGCACACATCTCAGGAGGGATTTTGTCTCACTCCTCTTTGCAGATCTTCTCCAAAGGATTAAGGTTTTGAGGCTGACGTTTGGCAACTCGAACCTTCAGCTCCCTCCACAGATTTTATATGGGATTAAGGTCTGGAGACTGGCTAAGCCACTCCAGGACCTTAATGTGCTTCTTCTTGAGCCACTCCTTTGTTGCCTTGGCCGTGTGTTTTGGGTCATTGTCATGCTGGAATACCCATCCACGACCCATTTTCAATGCCCTGGCTGAGGGAAGGAGGTTCTCACCCAAGATTTGACGGAACATGGCCCCGTCCATCGTCCCTTTGATGCGGTGAAGCTGTCTTGTCCCCTTAGCAGAAAAACACCCCCAAAGCATAATGTTTCCACCTCCATGTTTGACGGTGGGGATGGTGTTCTTGGGGTCATAGGCACCATTCCTCCTCCTCCAAACACGGCGAGTTGAGTTGATGCCAAAGAGCTCCATTTTGGTCCCATCTGACCACAACACTTTCACCCAGTTATCCTCTGAATCATTCAGATGTTCATTGGCAAACTTCAGACGGGCATATATACGTGCTTTCTTGAGCAGGGGGACCTTGCGGGCGCTGCAGGATTTCAGTCCTACACGGCATAGTGTGTTACCAATTGTTTTCTTGGTGACTATGGTCCCAGCTGCCTTGAGATCATTGACAAGATCCTCCCGTGTAGTTCTGGGCTGATTCCTCACCGTTCTCATGATCATTGCAACTCCACGAGGTGAGATCTTGCATGGAGCCCCAGGCCGAGGGAGATTGACAGTTATTTTGTGTTTCTTCCATTTGCGAATAATCGCTCCAACTGTTGTCACCTTCCCACCAAGCTGCTTGGCAATGGTCTTGTAGCCCATTTCAGCCTTGTGTAGGCCTACAATCTTGTCCCTGACATCCTTGGAGAGCTCTTTGGTCTTGGCCATGGTGGAGAGTTTGGAATCTGATTGATTGATTGCTTCTGTGGACAAGTGTCTTTTATACAGGTAACAAGCTGAGATTAGGAGCACTCCCTTTAAGAGTGTGCTCCTAATCTCAGCTCGTTACCTGTATAAAAGACACCAGGGAGCCAGAAATCTTTCTGATTGAGAGGGGGTCAAATACTTATTTCCCTCATTAAAATGCAAATCAATTTATAACATTTTTGACATGTGTTTTTCTGGATTTTTGTTGTTGTTATTCTGTCTCTCACTGTTCAAATAAACCTACCATTCAAATTATAGGCTGATAATTTCTTTGTCAGTGGGCACGCGTACAAAATCAGCAGGGGATCAAATACTTTTTTCCCTCACTGTATATGATCTCAAGTGCAAATGATGGAGTATGGTTCTACAGGAAGGTTTATGGTAGCAGTCATTGGGTGAAAACCATAACCCATTTGATCAGCACGTTATTAGCAAACATCCAGCATTTTCACACATTAGATGTGTTAGTGTTAAAATCTTTCACGTGTAATATTTTTTATTTATGAAATTTCATTAATGACCTTTTTCTGATAGTGTTGTAATGCTACTGGAAGTCATGGTTTTACTTTGTTGTGACTGCAGGTGCTGGGGGACCATGAGCCAGATATCCCAGATGACATCAACTATGGGCAGCTCACCAAGGATCTGGCGAAGGAGATCCGCATTGCGGAGGTGCGTGTGGCCCAGAAGTCTCATCCCTCTCGACTGCCTTAGTTTGGCTCAAAGTGCATTTATCAGTTTCCATTAAATCTTGATCAAGTGCACGAGGTCATTACGGCCAGTGGTGTTGGATACAATATCCTGCACAGTTAAAGCTGCGCTTTCCAAGGCCGCGAGGTCATTGCAGCCAGCGCTGCTTAAGCTGCCACACCTTGACATCACTCCCTTCAGATAGATCCGAGTCTTTGCACAGTCGATATCAGCCCCTCAGGGTCTGCACGTACGATCTCCTACCATCCGGCTTTAGGTCTTCCCCTTAGTTACCAACATCTTGATGGCACGCCAATGTTTGGCTTGGTAACATGTCCTGCTCCGTCCTGCACACATGCTCCTCTCATCGCAACCTTATTCTGGTAACATCCACAATGTTCCCATCATGTGCTGTCCAAAGCTTCTAAGTTGCAGAAGCTTTTTAAAATGTTTGTATCCTGAAGTTCTCCTTGCTGACCAGCACAGCAAAAAAACCTTACTTCTTCCTCAAGCTCTCGGCCGTTCACCTTTTGTTGCCAGAAAAAAGGGGAAAAACCCTATTAGTATTTTTTGGTATTGGCAAAGGAGGCCTCATGATGTAGATGCTTACCCCGAGCTCTCATTACTCTGATAGTGCGTTGTCTTTGAACTGTGTGCCTTTTGGCATCATTTGGTCGATCACCATAGACTAGGCTCTAAGAAAAGCTGTCGCTGGTGTGGACCAATGAGTTTCAAGGACAATGCATAAATTATCTGAGGTTTTTTTTTTGCATTTTGACTACAATTATTGTGGTTAATGTAAACATTATTCCTTGCAGAAGGGGTCAGTTTTGTTGCCGGAAAAAAGGGGAAAACCCCTATTGGTGAATCAATGCTTGCCAGATACAATTGTAATCTATTAGTCTGCAAAGTCACGCGCCGATCTTCAGCCTGGCACATTTCACTGCCTTCTTGCAGAATCCCCCAAGTGGCGGTGGCGGCGGTGTGACGGGGGCAGCTGCGGGAGTGGGGGGCGGCCGCCGCGGGGTTGCACGAACCACCTGGGGCGGGGCTGAGCCGCTGCTGCTGGAGCCGGGCCCTCGTGCCGTGCGGCTCGTGCCCGGTCACACGGCGCTGTCGGACAGCGAGGGGGAGCCGGGCGAGGTGATCATCGGCGTGCGCCACAAGCCTCCGCGCGCCCTCGGCCCCGACGCCGGCCCCGGCCCCGTCGCGGGCCCCGGCACCGCCAAGGGCAAGCGCTCGAAGAAAGGGAAAGGACGCGCAGCGAAGGCCAACATGGGGCTCGACGCTCTGGAGATTCACACGGTGGAGGGGCTGCACAAGATGGGCACGACTAAGAAGGGCGCGGTGCGTGGAGATGCACACCACGGAGTGTGTGTGTGTGTGTCTGTGGTTATTGGTGAGGTTGTCTGTGGGTGCGCGTGTGTATGGGTGTGGATATGGCAACAGTGGCGCAGCGGTTAGTGCACCGCGCTACGAACACCGGCGACCCGAGTTCAATTGCCGCTCTTGGCCAACCAGTGACGACTATCTGAACTGTTCCTGTGCCTCCGCTAGGTTATCTCGGCCTCAAATGAGTACCTGGTTTGTGATGTGTTTACATCGTCACTGGGGAGACAGGTGGTCAGGCGTTGTGTTGGCTACCACATTGTGCGCCGTGCTGGCCTTCATAGGTGCTCGCTAACAGATTTCCACAACAGTCTGCTACAGGCTACATGGGGATCTTTGTCTTTGGTGGCCAACATGGGCATGGCCAACAATGGGGGTGGTTGGTGGAGACTATCATGCGATTGGTGTGTGGTGGTGATAATAGTGGATGGGCATGACCAAGAGTGAATGACGTCACAGTTGGAGACTGATTTTGTGGGTTGAAGTGATGGTTATTGTTGTGCTTCGGTGCTGATGATGCAGATTTTGCTGCCGCTGGTGGTAGCAATCGGCGCTGCTAATGCTTGTGATGACGGTAATGCTGATAGTGCTATGAATATTAAGAGTGCTGGTGGTGATGGTCCATGTGTTGCCCATTCAGAAGGCGACTCCTCGTTCACCGCAGAAGGGCAGGCTGGGCAAGGGTGTGCAGATAGTGCCCACTGGCGCAGACGTGAAGACCCTGGACAGCGAGAACGTTCGTCTCGTGCTGTCCAACGGCAAGGTGCTGAGGTGGGTGTGAGCCACAGAGCTAGGCCATGAGGCCACATGGGGCAGCGCTTTCTCAACTGTAAGAACGCGCTTTAGGTTAAAGTATGTAAGAGTAGAGGTCAATTCTATTTGAGGAATGAGTAATGTAATTGTTACTGCATGGCTCAGAGAGTTGGACATTTAACAAAGCAACGAGAAAACAAACCTCTGGCCTTAGAATGCAGTTGCACATAGAGGGTGCGAGGAATGTCATAGTCGGACTTGGTGACTTGTGTGCGTGGCTGGAGAGCTTAGTGAACGTAAATCAGGAAGAGGAGGATATGGTTGCTGGGACAGACGGAGGGTGGAGGAAGACAAGTTATGGAGACAAGCATTATCTGTGGGCCAAAGCATAAATCGGTACCACCTAAAGTAGCTTTAGTCATACCGATTTATTTACATGACGAATAAAAGTGAATGGTTGCTAACCCACTAGTTTCAAATTGTTTTCACGTAACTAATGTAATTGGCCACATAGCAAAAATTTAAACCGCTTTGCTCGTTGCATGTTTAAATTATTGTTATATAATTCCAATAACCCCCCCTTTGCTCTCCGCACCTGTTTGGCTCATGGTGATGATGTAATCTTGCTCTATTTAAGACCGGAAGTAGATGGATTGCTTCACTATTCTGGAAAATCGCCCGATGTAATTGCCAGCGAAACGTCGTACTCAAATTGTAAATGTTGTTGGTTTCCTCTCCAACACACCAGTGGGCTGAAGTAGTAACTAATTGGCACGTTTTGTTTACGTGACAAACCTTACTGGCTGTGTCGGGTTGTGGAGGGTTACGACACATTTATACTTACGCGATATAACCCAAAAACCTTGATTATGAATATTTGTATAAAATTACAGTGTCATTTTATACAGTCGTTTTGCTGTGGGTGACCTCACAGCAGACATTTTATTTGCTTACAATATTTTGACAATTCTGAGTTTGTATATTTGTCTGGGATGAGTGGGTGCATAGGTTTTATGTGTATATGAATGCAATTGTGTGATTATTTTTTTATCTGTAAATTTTGATATTCATTTTCACGATACATCTTTGCATCCCAAGTCATTTCAGGACTTTTTTGGTTTGATTCATTGTGTTCAGCATCTGACATTTTTTCCCATATTTTGTAACAGCAAAAAGAAGACCAAAAAAAAGCTTGGCAGTCCATTTAAACATCAGTAAGTAGTGTGTGTGCATGTGCATATGTGTGTGTGTTATTGTTTAATGTAATAGCATAATAGCGATCCTACTCTTGGCTGTGATGCAAATAATTGCGCCCTGCACATTTTCAGTGACATTTGAACATCTGAATCTGACCAGAGGTTCACTCGGCATCATATTAACGATGCATATTGGTCAAGAACATTGGCGCTGTGGTGCTAAAGTAGGCCTTGCATGGTGCTGGCCATATCACCACTGCCCCCTTGCACCATGCTTGTCTTCATAGGCGCTTGCTAACAGCATTTTCCCCCATAATTTAAATTGTGTGTGCAGTGGTGGAAGCGTAAATTTGAGTGCCGCTATGAAACCCGCCCTCCTGCAGCGGCTGTTGTGCACTGCCAGTTCCCTCCGCAGTAACATCGTGCTGTAGGAATAAGAAGCATTCTAAAATGGGTCGGTTCACGTGTTCAGTGTTTTGAGAAGTGCCAGTATAGCATACCGTTGCATATCGGCACATTTCAATTACCGGGCATATTTATGTTTTGTAAAATTAGATATTTAGCCAATTTTTTTTATACGTTACTGACAACATGCCTTGCACACTTGTACTTTTATTACTCGTTTGTTGTGTAAAATTGTTATCATTTTGGCCACTTTTGCTGAAGTAGTGGACAAACGCATTTCCATCGTAAAGCTATATGCGAGCATGGGAATGCATGCACACACAAATTCACTGATTATTGATATATTGCAACTACAGGGTTCCGTCTATCGCTGTAGTTAGCCTGTGCATTAACATCCCAAACAGGAACCAAGAAAGGATAGCTACCTTAATTAGTCCCAATAATTTGGCAATTCAATGTTTATTGACCTTTGGATGAAACTGCACCCTCCCCCCTGGTATATCTAACCCACCACCTCTTCCTTGCTCCCGCAGCACCAAGGATCTGAAGCAGGGGGAGGTGGGGAAGTTTGAGCCGATGTTTGGCGTGGGAGGAGGTGCCGCGGGAGGCGTTGTAGTGGCCGCTCCCGTGGGGGGCACAGTTGTGGTGGGGGGCACTGGGGCGGCCGCAGGTCTCAAGAAGGAGGCTAAGACTGCGAGGGATGCCTACGACTATGACTCGGACGAGGACCGCATGGCGATCGATGAGACGCCCATCAAGAAGGGCCGCAAGGAGGCGTGGAAGCACACAGGAAAAGGTAGCCGCGTGCCACTGACTCCCTGAATAATACAAATACCGCCACCCCCCCCAGTGACGCTGTGACGCTGTTCACAGTGTGAGGCCTTCCCGTTTGAGAAACGCCCTACTTGTGGAACTAAGCTTTCTCCTACACCCGCACTCTGTCTTCACGCTAATACAGCAGGTGGCATCACTCACACTCCCATTTCCAACTTTCGGAGGTCTTTGAATGTTACTGTAGACGTCTTTTTTCAAGTCATTTTGGTCTCGGCAGACTGCTGAATTCAAAATAATAAAAACAATTGTTTATATATTAGTTATTTACAAATTTCAGCTGTCTCCAAATTATCTTTTGCATTTTTTGTTGCAGAGCGGCCAGTTAAAGTGGAGGTGAAGAAAAGCTGGGCTGTGCCTGCATCCGCTGTAAAGAAGGAAACCAAGGCCAGCCCAGTGCGTGCAGAGCTCACGCACAGAGACACACTCAGCGACATGCACACACATTATTCAACAAAGATTTCCTGTGTAGCCATATATACCTTGAGGGCAAGTGCTGTTAGGGAGCACCTATTAAGGTCGGCAAACTGACAGGAAGGTAGTGTTGCCAGAAGCGTGGCCTGCCACCTTTGTCTCCCGGTAGTTGATGTATATACCACTGCACCAGGCACTCATGAAGGCTGAGTGATACAAAGACAAAGATCTCCCATATAGCCTGAACATGTTCTTGGGGGAAGTGCTGTTAGTGAACACCTATGAAGGCCAACATGGCACACGAGGAGGTAGGTGGCTAGCACCATGCCTGGACACGCACACTCGGTTGTTCACTCGCTCGTGTTCATAATATCTCGGCACACTTTCCTCCTGGTTCCACTCCCGCATGTTCAACCGCTTTCTCCTCTGCATCCTCTCCGATATACCTCGTCTCCCAATTCCACTTCGTCCAAATGCTGCTGCCAAACTTTTCACTCGCATCTGCACCCCAGATGGACTCGAGTCTAACGCTAACCGTGCCCCGTGCAGGTGGTGGAGCCCGGCTCTGAGGACGAGGATTCCCTGCAGATTGACGTCGGGGGTGCGGGCGGAGTGGCCGAGGGGGCCGTGCCCCGTGGCGTCGGAGGCTCCATCCTCGACCTGCTCAAGGCCAGCCGGCAGGTTGGCAACGACGGGTCAGTGGACGTGCCCGCGATGACGTTTGGTCACGTGGGGCATGCGCTTGGCAATCGTTCACTCTGATCGCTACTCGCCCAGACACAGAGCTACTCGCTCGGCAAGCATTAGCTTGCTGCTTGCAGGCGAAGGTGATCGCTCACTCGCAGAAGCACTCGCTCACCTCACGCTGAGCACTCGATACTCACGCATCCAGCATTCACCCAGACACTCACTCACTCACTCAACCACTCATCCACTCACTCAGTCACTGGCTAAATGATTATCTTAACCACTCATTAGTACAATCACTACAACTTACAAAATGGATTCAACTGCCGAGTAACTTTCCATTAAGTCATTCGGCATGCATTTAAATACTCAACCACTGTTACACTCAATCAGTACTCGCACAACCGCTCGCCACTCAAGCAATGGGCTTCCTTAAATTGTATCCCAACTGACCACCTGCAGGTGCAGTCACGTTTTCCACAAATGGAAAATAAAGAAATTGCTCAGACACGATTGCAGCGCACGGCAACAAAGAGTGGAACGAGCCGTGAACTCGTAGCTACGGGCGAACGTCTCGGGCGGTGCGGGTGGCCCACACTCGTTGTCTTCTTCTTGAAGAGTCACTCCACTTCTCCTTTGCTCGTTCGAGCTCCCCCCCGCCCCCCGTGCCCGCTCACCCCGATTCCTACGTGCCATGTGCCCCCCTTCCCCCAGTGAGCCGCCGGCATCTCCAAGCACGCGCGAGGCTATCCAGGGCATGCTCTCGATGGCGGGCTCAGCCACGCGGCTCGGCTGGCCCGTAACCGGCTCCCAGGTGGGCGGGCGAAGGCACGCGGCGGCCGCCGCGGCCATGGCCGCGGCGGCCGCGGCCGCTGCCGCCGCGGCCGCGGCCACTGGGACGACAACGGCGGCGGGCGATGCCAGGAGAGGGGCCCAGCGGCAGAGGCCCGAGGCGCGGCCCGGCCGCTCGACGAGCGAGGGGGATGGGGATTCTGAGGACGACGACCTGGACCCGTGCTTCAAGGACTCGGAGTACGGTGCGAAGCTCACGCCACGGCCGCCTTGTCGCGCCTGTGGAGGGGGCTGCCTGAGCCGTTGTCGTGGTGCCTGCAGGAGAAAATGCTGCCACGCTGATGGGGACGCACGGCAGCTCCGTGTTTAACGAAACACCTAGAGTGGGTGGAAAAGCACGTGGATCAAGGTTTCCACAGGATCGAGACAGCGCTGGGTGGCACTTGCCCCCAGGGTTGCTTGAAGGCTTTGAAGGGTGCTGAATCCACATATGAAGTCGGATATAAAATAGCACTAATTTTCAGACACTTTTTAAATCGTTTGTATGCCAATCCCGACAGAAAGTGAGTGAAGTTTATGAGTGAATATACTTTTGTCAAATAAATATAAGTTTGCTAACATATCTCTTAGTTGGGTTTGGGTTGAAAAACCTATATACCATAGGCAAAACAGGTGCATCGGTGCCGTTATTTATAAACACATTGTGTGGGGGGGGGGGGGCAATGGTACAGTGGTCTGCTCACCATGGCAATCCCAATGAGCTGGTTTTGAATTTCAACCACGAATAACATTAGTTAAATGCAGCTGGGCATGTTGCCGGCTGCACCAACCCATCGTGCTGTGCTTAATAGGCACTCACTAACAGCGCTCGCAGTCACTAAAGCTCAATGTGTGCGTTGGTGTCTCTCGTGTTCCAGTCTACCCTTCCCTGGAGTCGGACGACGAGGAGCCGGTCTTCAAGTCTCGCACCAAGAAGAAGAAGGGCGTGGGAGATGCACCTTGGAACCCTGGAGGTGCTGAGCCTCTCGTCGCCACGACACCACCAGTGCCAAAAACACAAACGCTGCTTTTTGGGACAAGTACCCAGGTCGTGATTGTCCAGGGGATATCTGATACAGGCCTTTGAGCTTCGTTAACGAGGAATCAATACTGAAATGTCTGGTCAGGCGTGTAGTCGTAGTTGTGACAGCACGGCTGTAACTCGCATACACTTGAATCGCAATGCTATTAAGGTGATGCTACTGAAGCACGCTCCAATGAAACGCCTGCAAGTGACTTACAGATATTTTGGTATGAGACTTCAAAGTCAGCCTAGGTACGGCCACTTTCTCCAAAATTAGGACTGTTACACTTCTAAATTCTGTCTTTAGATGAATGTGGCTGTGATAGCTACTGTTTTCACTCCCATACTGCCTCGTGGGAGACATGAAAACGAAGAGTGGAATTAATTTTATTGACCCTGGAGGAATGATTGGGCGAGTCGACTTTTGACCGTTAATTGAACTTTCGACCTTTCGTCTTGTTCTCTAATCATAGCACCGCTGGGCCAGATTGGGTTAGGCTATGTATTGATTGGATGGAGAATTGGCACTGAGAGTGATGGAGGCAAAAAAAATTCGTTAAGGTCAGTGTCAGGAATGTGAAGACGTCAGATAATACGGACGACACACGACTGATCCCGGACGAGACTTTCCTCATCACTGAACGTGAAGTTAAATTGCAGAGACAGTTGGAATACCCGCTGTGGTGCGTGTACTTGAAAAGACGATCTTCTGTGCCATGCTGACCTTAAGAGGCGCTTGCTAACAGCCCTTCCTCGTCTCTTGTACCACAGCCAAAGTGGTGCCTACGGTGCCACGTCCCGAGCGGCCGGTGAGAGAGGGTACGCGCGTCCCCTCCATCGAGACCGGCCTCGCTGCTGCCGCCGCTAAACTCTCACAGCAGGTAGGCATAGCACCAGCCTGTTGCACGCAATGCACACACCACCAGCTGTCACGATACAGACAGCACTAGCAGTCATGCACCGCGCACACAGCACTGGCTGTCGCCATACACACAGCACCATCTGTCACCATACACACAGCGCCAGCTCACACACACCATACACAAACCACCCCGCCCTCTCCGTCACTAAGGTGGTGTGATGCTCTTCCAAATTCCATGGCCTCCATACAAGCAGGACCCAACTGGGCAAGTGGACCCCTGCTTGCTTTTGAAATGCAACGCTCATCCGCCGTGTGTTGCTGCTGCTGTGCCCGTCCCTCTCGCCCGCGCTCTGTGCGTGCAGGAACAGCACAAGCCGGCCAAGCGGAAGTACCTGCGCAAGCGTGCCGCCACCGTGCCGGGGGCGGGGGGCGTGGGAGAGGTGGACCCCCTCGCCGCAGGGGCCGCCGCCGTCTCCGCCGCCATCTCCGCGACCGCTGAGGGCAGCGACCCTCTTGGGGAGGAACCCCCCAAAGAACCCCAGGGCTCCCCGGACGCTCGCTCACAGGTACCGCGCCGCCGAACAAGGGGTGGGGGGGGGGGTAGCCGTCATGTGACTCCAGTCGTGCTTTAGCGACAGCGCGTTGCTGCTCGACACTGACCGATGCAGAAGGGCTCGCTGCTGTAGACACGTTGGTGTAATTGGACTCGCTGCTGGAGACCGACTCTCATAAGCTGAAGCTGCAGATGAACTCACCGACTCTTTTAGACTAATAGCTGTAGACTCACTACTGTTTCACACATAGGCTTTTGCGACTAATATCCATAATAGAGGTTTTTTTGGTTTAGATCGCGTAAATATGTGTCGTTAAAACCCTCCGCCACCTGACACAGCCAACTAGTAAGGGTTGTCACGTAAACAAAAATTATTGACGAGTGCAGCACACCGGTGTGTTGGAGAGCCAAGCCACAACATTTACAATCTAGTGCACTCACGACTGTAGAATCACCTCTGTAGAATCACTTCTCTGACTACTGCATACAGACTCTTCTTTCGACTGACACTTCCTGTGGAGTGCTCGAGAATGATCAACGTGTTTAGATTGGCTGCCGTGGGTGACTTCACCACCTTGGACCACCTGTTGTAGTGTTAACGCTGCAGGCGCGACTGCAGAGTCTTGATAGACCGGCTCCTCTAAGATGACCGTTGTAGGCCAGGAGGCGGCTGTAAAAGCGGCGTGCGTGCGGTGTCGTGATGGCGGCAGGAGTTCTTCACGGGGAGCCTCGCCGACCACGAGTACACGTCGGCAGGGGGCGGCACCTTCGGCCTGGCGCGGGGAGCCACGCCCATGGCTCCCGGCGTGTTCCTGTCATCACGGAGACCCAGCGCCCCCGTGCCCAGCACCCCCACCGCCAACCTGGGGTCCCCCAAAGGTACGGTAGCACCCGGTGCCCCTTCCCCCCGCTTGCCTGTCTGTGCATTCATAGTCCGTGTTGCAGATGACATGACCCAGCAGTAGTGCGTTCGCTGCTTGTTGCAGAGATTAGCGGTCCAATTCCGGCCGGCCGTCCTGGTTATTATTGCGGGTCTGTGAACAATGAATATGTGCCGTCTGCTTCACAGTTAAAGATCCCCCCTGACATAATTTTAAATAAATAGGCCATTGGCTGATTTATTGATAATATATGTTGAATAGTCCATTGTCTGATTTATTGATACTGTAGGCTTAAGTAGTATCAGATGTAAATTATGCAGGATAATTACGTAAGAGCTAGTAATGACTTAGTGCTACTAGAGGCCTTTTAAATGATGAACAGGGTAATTGTCACAGTAGCTAAAATTGTGGGGTATTTGCCCATGGTCAAAAAAAATTAGAGGGCAGCACGTGCATCACAGCAAGTCGGGGTATTTATTATCTTTAGGACGAGGGGTGGAGCTGACTGCTTTGCCATGTCTGCTCATGTGGTTCTTTTCCAGCGGGGAAGAGGCCTCGGAAGGGTCTGGCCACTGCCAAGCAGAGGCTGGGGAAGATCCTGAAGATTCAGAAGAACGGCCGCTTCTTATTGTGAGCGCTTAATTGGGGGGGGGGGGGGGGTTGTGTGTTTGTGTTGACAGAGAGATCTTGACGTGCTCGGAGTTCCTTCAATGCACGCTCCGGCTAGCCAATACTACCACCGTGGCCTATAGACAGTGTTGGGAGGATGTATTTTGAAAATAAATCCATCTTTATTACTTCTTACTTCACATTTTGAACTAGTTATGTATTTATTTTATTGTTAGAGCACTGTATTCCGTTTGATTGCTTTTATGATCTGCATAGTCAAATTCAAAGGGTATCTCGCTGCTCTAAGGCGCAAACGGGCACCACTTATTTAGAACTGTTGATGTCCCTGCGGCTGGTGTTGGGAATTCCACATTCCCGAAGAAATGCCAGTGTCTATAAATCGTCGAAAGTTGACTTACCTGCAAATTGGTGCTAAATTTATGAGAAGAAATAGATACTTACAAGCTGAGTCAACCCTCCCATTCATTAACTTATTTAACCAGGAGATAAAGTGAACTCGTTTAGATGCATGAAACAACATTTCCCCTTTTGCCAGCGTGTGCACTTTTAATTCACAAGCTAATGACTTAGAGGTGAGCACTTTGATTTAGCTTTCATTTGAACGATTTAACCTCGGAATTAACAGAATCGTTCAACTAATATTGTTGCTGTCCTGACATTAACATAAGCTACCAGTGAGATTATTTTACCCTTTGATTTTTTGACATGTTTATAATTTAGGATGTAATCGTAAAAGTTATTATTTGGAATGTGCTAAATGTAATTAAATTGTACACTAAAAATGGAGTAATATGTCACGAACGGTCACCTGCGTTTAGTGATCCAAGTGCAGTGATGCGTCCCCCCCCCCCCAGCACTGCCTACAAAAGCCACACACACGGACACAGCTTCACACACGCAACAGCAGCAACACTGGTATATCGCACTCCGGAGGATCCGAGTACGTCATACGTCACAAGTATTTCAATGATGGTGCAATTTTTTCATTATCTTTTTCTCTCAGTGTTAGCGAGCAAGCCACAATGGTCGCAGTAGATGCAGCCCACTGCCAACGCATGCACTACAGGTGTTGCATTAAAGTCTTGGTAAAAGTTCGTAGCTTAAATTCCGATTCTCGTTGAGGCCACATTTTGCCAATGTCAATTTGGCATGAACAAGATGCAAATTATTTCCTTTGGCATTGGTAGTTAAGCACAAAAAGCACCTCCGCTGTCGTGATTAAACCTGATCCCGTAGTTTTGTTGCAAAGTCAATGGCTGTCCTGCAAGGTCTGGTCTGAGTCTCGTCATCGTCGCCACCATCTGGCTGTAGGTCTACTATTTTGTCTGTGACCTCGGGGCTGCTCAAATGTCTGTCTGGGTGACCTGCCTCTTCCAGTCTGCATACATCTCCGTCCATCGCTGTCTTGCTCAAACAAGCAATGTGGCAGTGCTCATCTCCATTGGCGGCTCTGGTTGAAATTCCACATTCCCATGGTGGAGGCCAGTGACAAACACTGATGACTTCCTACAAAATGGTTAGTACTTCCCACTCGCAGTTGGAAGGTCACGAGTTTAAATCTTAATCGGGGGTCAACTCGTCCTATCATCTCTCCAGGGCCGATATAATTATAACTTTTTGTGGGAATTCCACAGAAGTCACCCTCTTACAAATTAGGCATTTGATTGGTGGTGGATATGGGATGTTTTTGGTCTGTGCACCAACCAAAACAATCGTTGAATAAACAAGAAACTTGGTCAGATGTTCAATCCTACACAATACTGTTTACTTCCACAAGAGCTCGATTGTGTTTGTTATTTCAGCGCCTCACACTTGTTAGGTGTTATTGCTGGTCTCTGCAGCTGGGTCTTGTCATGGGGTCTAGTAAGAGTGATGAGCGACATCTGTAATGTCAATGATGGGTCACTGTAATACGCCTCATGCATGTGGTGGTGAAGGATATCGCGAAAGAAATACATGTGTTTTGACTATTGCCTGTGTCATACATTGAAACGAATGGCAATTAATGTGTAATGCATTTCATAAGCCATTTGTTTCAATGGGAAAAATAATAAAATCACTATATCCTTCAGAAAGGTATTGCCCATTGGTAAAATGTTGTTGCCTAAAGTGAGAAATACCATGTGATATAGGCAATAGCAAGTCAATAGGTACCCAGAAACACCAGGACGTGCTAATGGTAATACTATTCTTGCCGCGTACTGGCCATTATCACCAGTCTTATAATTGGCATTTTTGGACATCGTCACACGCGTGCCCTGTCGCAACACAGTATAAGTTACATAGAGATTGAGTGAAGGTGTGTGTGTGTAATCCTTTGAGGTGGTGGTTCAATTGTCACTGAGAAGAAGCTAACCTGTGACCACGTGAGCAACAATGTGTTTTTATATTGGGAAATCCGCGGTCTGTGAGACAGTCTGGCCAAGCAGTTTTGAAATAAATAATGAGAATAGTTAAAAACTATAGGAAATCTTAAACGTTTGTTGTTTTGTTGTAGATTTTTTGTATTTATTTATGACTTTTTTCTAATCACAATACTGCAGTGTATTATCATTTGTAACATTTTCGGATGACATGTTGCAAGCATTTTTTAAAATTTACTTTAACATTTAGAGGCAAGACTTATTTTACTAAATATGCTCTCCGTTTCGAAATGTCGTAAGCTTTTTTGAGATATTATTTCGTATTCTAATTTAAGTGTGCATAAGTTCTGTAAAAAAAAAAAGTTTATTACCTCTTACACACTAGTTTCTAATAAATATTAAGCCCAAAATTAAAGCACTGCAGATTTAGTGAGTTCTGTAAAATGTTCTACTTACCCTACGTTATAACAAGTGGCCCAATGAAGTGTCGGTCGTCATAAGTGAATTGGTATTGGTGAGTTCGATCAAACGTTAGGCCCTGGTAAATTTGGCTAAAGTCACCCCACAGCTCGACCCTATGAAAAATGTGAAGACTAATTTTAGCTGGGTCGAACGTCAAATAATGAAGCATTTCCCTGCTGAAATATAATGCGTGGCAGTGCTCTTCTGCTGACAACAAGCCATTGTCAGAATAATTGCACATTCCTGCTGTGCGCGACCATCCTCTCCATGAAACCAACCCCCGTGAGGAAGTAGTTTTGGCTGAGTTGACCCCCATCCTGGATATTCGAACGTCCGTCCGTCCCACCGAGTCGTGTGATCTAATCACAGAGCCACTGGGCGCATGTGAGAATATTCCATTGAGATCGCGTAAGATCACCGAAAACCACTGAACAGCTGACGTGAGCACCTAGTGTGTACGAGGTATCGGTGAACACTTGTATTTTATTGTGTTCTTATCTGCACAGCGGCACCGACTTTGGCAGTTGTGCAATCTGCCATCAGCCCACCTAGGCCTTCCCAGTTGCTCCAGAGGAAGTTCAGCGCAGTGCTCATCCTTTGTCCACTGTTAACACGTTTGTGATGAGAGTGAATTTGAGAAAAGTTGCAGCTTTGTTTTATCGTAACATCACTTAGAATGTGTATGCTACTCCACTGTGTGTCAATTTGTAAAACGCAGGTAGGTAATTGAGACTGGAACCGATGATTACCAATGAACAAGCAATATATATAAAAAAAATTGGTGCGTTGAGCCTGAAGTTAAAATGAAGACGTGAGAATCATTACCCGAACCCAGGTGGATAGCGGGGCAGCTGTTTGTGCAGATAAAAGCAGATTTGCTGAGATGACTTTTAATTTGTCGCTTTGTACCCTCCCAACTAACTGAACGGATACTGTTCTTACTGTTTGTGGTACGCAATTCAGTTGACCGCTCAGACTCGTGAGTTACCGGTAATAAGTTTATGTTTTAGACATTAAACTAGAGTGTAAAAAAAGAATATATATTTTTTTGCAGCCAACAATATTCTGACTAAGTTCGAGTTAAGGCTTTCTTTTTGTGTACATTTACAAACTCTGCAGACTGTCTATTTGACAGCGTAACGAGAAGCATTATTTTATACGGAACACAATTGTAACCGGCCCAACATGTTTTTTTAAAACACTGAAAGTTTTGAGAATAGTTCTGTTGTATTTTGTAAGCAGCTTTTTGTAGGTTGTTAACAGAGTTTTGAAATCTGTTTTTTTTTAAATGACACTTAACGATAGTAACCCGCATTTAAAGGCCGTGATAAAAACCTTTTTGTACTTTGTAATGTAATCATTTCCCGTGTGTTCATTGCGTGCGGTTGTCACTTGTACAGACGTGTTTGTGTATGGGTTTGAAAGTGATGTCTCATTCAAGGTTATTTGCCTTCATAGACACCACATGTATCATCCAGAAGTGCTTGGAACTAATGGTTTTATTTGTCCATTAAATTTTCTGGTTATTGCTATTCCCGGTTGCTTCCTGGATTTGTGTTTTTTTTCTTCTATGTTTGTGATGTTTTATTAAAAACATGTTGACATTGAATAGCGCCAACGTGGCCAGCTGTTAACTACTTCACTTGGTGTACAGGAGGTTGTGAGTTCGATCCCGACCCTGACACCTGTATATTTGGAGTTTACATGTCTCTCCCCGTGGTCGTGTGAATTTATTTTCCTGGTGCCTCCAGTTCTTCCCTTGACATTTATAAACATGCGTTTACAATATTTGGCTTCTATAAATGTCCACATGATAAGCCACTTCATTGAGCTATCATTTGTGGCCAGGTCGCTTAAAAAAAATTGCAGCATAGCTCAGTGGGCTTTACCTGGTAAAAATAAGTTTGGTTTGAAAGTGTCTATGTACAGCCTACACCAGGACACGCACGCACACACAGACACGTACACCCATATAATAAAACACCGACGCTTTGAATTAATACAGTACTTGAAATTACATTTCGGATGGACTGGACTTAATTGGAAAATTGCGAGTTGAAATCCTGGCTGAGGCTTGCCTCGACCCATGGTCCATCCGGGGTCGATAAAAATAAAAACGGTACCAAATTTTTGTTTGGGGTGGAAGTCCAGAGGGCCGCAAGAACATTCACAAGGCGGCCACGCGGATGCCACGGCGCGCGAACCCGCCACGTGCTCAACGACATCGACCGCCGTTCGCCACTAAGCGGCGGGGACGTTCCTGCGGCGCTTGCGCCGGGCAGCACCCGACACGAGCAGACGAGATGCTGCCGAGAGTCGCGCTTCTGCTTGCGACGTCGCTGCTCGTGAATGGCGGTAGGGAGACCGCGTGGTCGTGAATATTTAAATGTATGTCGAGAGATCAGTGTTCGATAAAACGTCAAAAACAACTGAAAGCTTATTTGGACAACCTAGACGGTTAGGATATGCTTTTCAAGATTGGCAGCATTAACGGATATACAAAACCAAGCTTTTAAAGTAAGGAGTTCTACGTTAATCAATCCTAATTTTAAGCTCCAGTTTGCGCCCTCAATAAAGTAGACATCACTGCACATTGCGGCATATGAAATCCGTCACGACCTCGGCGGCGGAAAGACTGAGCAAAGTCGATTGTAACGTACAGAATAAACGTGCAACCGTGCGTAACGAATGCGATTTAGCAATTTGTTGGGTACCAGGAAGGAGGCAATTGTCGATCACCACTCTCCTCTTCGATCCGCCACTGATCAGCTCTGATCAATACTGCCAGGCTGACAGGTGGGAAATGTCAACTTCATCTCTTTTCGTCAAATCAATGAGAGTATTGTGTAAATGTAGTTTGAATCATAGCGTGTGTTTAATATGGGACTGTGTTAATTACCTCCGTATTGAATTGTCTGCGGAGATCGATGTTTGCATAAACCCAGGATCATTCCTCCTTGGCAAGGATATCTACTCGTGGGGGCCAATGTTCTAGCACACGGCCAATATTTTCCTTCCAATGGTGACGCTTCATCCCAAGACTTGGTGCTCATGGCGCAAATTGAATTAAATTGGGAGAGAGAAAAAAACTAAACAGGTCCCTGCAAGGTGGGCTGGTAGAAGTTCGCAAATGAGACAATGTGACTTCCAAATGTTGGGTGCAATAAGACATATCAAGTCTCTGCGCTGTCTATTGCTGATTTGACACCCAACAGCACGAGATTTCACTTCGTTAAAGTATTGAAAGTGGACGGACGGACACATTAATTTATTGCAGGCTGGTACACTCAGTTTACAACTTCGTTCCTACCAGTATAACAATTGACCTAAGGTTAGGTGACGGTGTTTGTTGGTGTAACAGTGTTTAACACGTAAGAGGTTAGGTGACGATGTTTGTTGGTGTAACAGTGTTTAACACGGAGGAGGTTAGGTGACGATGTTTGTTGTTGTAACAGTGCTGCGTGTGTTTAACACGGAGGAGGTTAGGTGACGATGTTTGTTGTTGTAACAGTGTTTAACACGGAGGAGGTTAGGTGATGGTGTTTGTTGTTGTAACAGTGTTTAACACGTAGGAGGTTAGGTGATGGTGTTTGTTGTTGTAACAGTGTTTAACACGTAGGAGGTTAGGTGACGATGTTTGTTGTAACAGTACTGCGTGTGTTTAACACGGAGGTTAGGTGACGATGTTTGTTGTTGTAACAGTGTTTAACACGTAGGAGGTTAGGTGACGATGTTTGTTGTTGTAACAGTGTTTAACACGGAGGAGGTTAGGTGACGATGTTTGTTGTTGTAACAGTGTTTAACATGTGGGAGGTTAGGTGACGATGTTTGTTGTTGTAACAGTACTGCGAGTGTTTAACATGGAGGAGGTTAGGTGACGATGTTTGTTGTTGTAACAGTGTTTAACACGTAGGAGGTTAGGTGACGATGTTTGTTGGTGTAACAGTGTTTAACACGCAGGAGGTTAGGTGACGATGTTTGTTGGTGTAACAGTGCTGCGTGTGTTTAACACGGAGGAGGTTAGGTGACGATGTTTGTTGTTGTAACAGTGTTTAACACGTAGGAGGTTAGGTGACGATGTTTGTTGTTGTAACAGTGTTTAACACGGAGGAGGTTAGGTGACGATGTTTGTTGGTGTAACAGTGTTTAACACGCAGGAGGTTAGGTGACGATGTTTGTTGGTGTAACAGTGCTGCGTGTGTTTAACACGGAGGAGGTTAGGTGACGATGTTTGTTGTTGTAACAGTGTTTAACACGTAGGAGGTTAGGTGACGATGTTTGTTGTTGTAACAGTGTTTAACACGTAGGAGGTTAGGTGACGATGTTTGTTGGTGTAACAGTGTTTAACACGTAGGAGGTTAGGTGACGATGTTTGTTGGTGTAACAGTGTTTAACACGTAGGAGGTTAGGTGACGATGTTTGTTGGTGTAACAGTGTTTAACACGTAGGAGGTTAGGTGACGATGTTTGTTGTTGTAACAGTACTGCGTGTGTTTAACACGGAGGTTAGGTGACGATGTTTGTTGTTGTAACAGTGTTTAACACGTAGGAGGTTAGGTGACGATGTTTGTTGTTGTAACAGTGTTTAACACGTAGGAGGTTAGGTGACGATGTTTGTTGGTGTAACAGTGTTTAACACGTAGGAGGTTAGGTGACGATGTTTGTTGGTGTAACAGTGTTTAACACGTAGGAGGTTAGGTGACGATGTTTGTTGGTGTAACAGTGTTTAACACGGAGGAGGTTAGGTGACGATGTTTGTTGGTGTAACAGTGCTGCGTGTGTTTAACACGGAGGAGGTTAGGTGACGATGTTTGTTGTTGTAACAGTGTTTAACACGTAAGAGGTTAGGTGACGATGTTTGTTGGTGTAACAGTGCTGCGTGTGTTTAACACGGAGGAGGTTAGGTGACGATGTTTGTTGTTGTAACAGTGTTTAACACGGAGGAGGTTAGGTGATGGTGTTTGTTGTTGTAACAGTGTTTAACACGTAGGAGGTTAGGTGATGGTGTTTGTTGGTGTAACAGTGTTTAACACGTAGGAGGTTAGGTGACGATGTTTGTTGGTGTAACAGTGTTTAACACGTAGGAGGTTAGGTGACGATGTTTGTTGTTGTAACAGTACTGCGTGTGTTTAACACGGAGGTTAGGTGACGATGTTTGTTGTTGTAACAGTGTTTAACACGTAGGAGGTTAGGTGACGATGTTTGTTGGTGTAACAGTGTTTAACACGCAGGAGGTTAGGTGACGATGTTTGTTGGTGTAACAGTGCTGCGTGTGTTTAACACGGAGGAGGTTAGGTGACGATGTTTGTTGTTGTAACAGTGTTTAACACGTAGGAGGTTAGGTGACGATGTTTGTTGTTGTAACAGTGTTTAACACGGAGGAGGTTAGGTGACGATGTTTGTTGGTGTAACAGTGTTTAACACGCAGGAGGTTAGGTGACGATGTTTGTTGGTGTAACAGTGCTGCGTGTGTTTAACACGGAGGAGGTTAGGTGATGATGTTTGTTGTTGTAACAGTACTGCGTGTGTTTAACACGTAGGAGGTTAGGTGACGATGTTTGTTGGTGTAATAGTGTTTAACACGGAGGAGGTTAGGTGACGGTGTTTGCTGTAACAGTGTTTAACACGGAGGAGGTTAGGTGACGATGTTTGTTGTTGTAACAGTGTTTAACACGTAGGAGGTTAGGTGACGATGTTTGTTGTTGTAACAGTGTTTAACACGTAGGAGGTTAGGTGACGATGTTTGTTGGTGTAACAGTGTTTTAACACGTAGGAGGTTAGGTGACGATGTTTGTTGGTGTAACAGTGTTTAACACGTAGGAGGTTAGGTGACGATGTTTGTTGGTGTAACAGTGTTTAACACGGAGGAGGTTAGGTGACAATGTTTGTTGGTGTAACAGTGCTGCGTGTGTTTAACACGGAGGAGGTTAGGTGACGATGTTTGTTGTAACAGTGTTTAACACGTAAGAGGTTAGGTGACGATGTTTGTTGGTGTAACAGTGCTGCGTGTGTTTAACACGGAGGAGGTTAGGTGACGATGTTTGTTGTTGTAACAGTGTTTAACACGGAGGAGGTTAGGTGATGGTGTTTGTTGTTGTAACAGTGTTTAACACGTAGGAGGTTAGGTGATGGTGTTTGTTGGTGTAACAGTGTTTAACACGTAAGAGGTTAGGTGACGATGTTTGTTGGTGTAACAGTGTTTAACACGTAGGAGGTTAGGTGACGATGTTTGTTGGTGTAACAGTGTTTAACACGGAGGAGGTTAGGTGACGATGTTTGTTGGTGTAACAGTGTTTAACACGTAGGAGGTTAGGTGACGATGTTTGTTGGTGTAACAGTGTTTAACACGTAGGAGGTTAGGTGACGATGTTTGTTGGTGTAACAGTGTTTAACACGTAGGAGGTTAGGTGACGATGTTTGTTGTTGTAACAGTGTTTAACACGTAGGAGGTTAGGTGACGATGTTTGTTGTTGTAACAGTGTTTAACACGGAGGAGGTTAGGTGACGGTGTTTGTTGGTGTAACAGTGTTTAACA